TTTTTGGTTCCGTCAGAATAATGAGAGAAAGACCAACTCCCACACCAGCCATTCCACAAAAGGTTCCCATGTTTGGCGGCGTCAGACATATTCCGGTTGCATCTTCAGCAGTATTTGCACAATCTCGAGCGGTATGCAAGGCCAGCAAAATGACTGTCAGCACAACAGCAGACACTGGTTGCAAGACGGTGTAACTCATGACCAAAGTTCCGGTTGCATATTGATTAGCCCAATTGATCAATCCGTAGGCTCCTGCCGAACTGAAAAAGACAAACCAAATCATAGCAGGAAGCGCATCCATTGGCGGTAAAATGGAACCATGAGACCAAACCCACATGGGATCTTTGGTGTTGTCCATCGAATAATTGCTATTGGAAGTCACAAGGAGTGATATTATTGTCGCAATTCCCATGTAGGTAGCCGACACAAAGTAGGAGACTGCCGTGACCATCAGTGGTGAAAAGGCATCCAACAGTCGCTTGGAGACCAACACGTACGACGGATCACTCAAGCAGTTGATAAAGAACAGAAAGTTTCCAGCCCAAAAAAGAGTAGATTTGGACACGGATGCTCCACTGTCCGCGTCTTCATCAGGCGCATGAGGCGACAGTACCACCATGATTATGCAGCCACAAAAAGCCATAGCGACACCAATCATACGTTTCGAATTCCACGGTTCCCACCCCATAATGTAACAAAAAAATGCCATGAGAATTGGTTGGCTTGGTTGCCACACACCAGCTGTGACTGGTCCTGCGAGCGTAATTCCAATCAAGAAACCTGGGCGTAGTTGTCAAGACCAAATAATATGAGATTCAAGTATACCAAGCATTGGATACGAATAGCACGATGCAGAAACATACCAAACTGACTTCCAAACAAGGTAAGACCCAGCAATGCGAACGTTTTGCGATGGGTCTTAAAGTCAAAGGAGGGAGTTCGCCCTGGCTTGGATAGCTTCGTATAGTCATTAGGATATGCCTCCTCATCTTTCAGCTGTGAATTCTTTGAAGTATTGGGTGATTCCTTTGTTGCTGATGCTCCCATCAGCAATACCAAACCAGACAAGTATTGCCGAATCGTCAAGAAGGCCAGTGGATGAGTCGTCGACATTCCCAGAGCACCCACCACGGCCCCAATCCCCCAAAAGGAATTGGAAAGTAATAAAGCCAAGTGTACTTTGGCTTTTCGATTGCAGGGACCCATATCCTAGCGTTGGGTGTATATAATTCGTGCGCTTAGTAGTTGCTGTTAGCTTGATTCAGAAGGCAGCGTCACTATGATGTCAGTAGTGATAATGTCTGTTGTACTCCTCCTCGTTCTTTCACTTAAAAGTACAATTGATTAAGATTCAGCTAGACAGTTCCAATGTCATATCGTGCCCAAGTCCATCAACGGAAGAGTTTTCACCTTGGATGGTCAATTGATTTTCAAGTTTTTGTTGCAGTCATTGTGAAACCATCGCAGTTTTTGTCGAGAGGTATATGGTTTGTTGACACGCACTTATAATATTTTGGGTGTGGAGTGTGGGGGATATTCTATAAGGGGCAAAATTGAAACTATAAATGTTCCCAAGTTTCATCTAATAATATAACATATAGTACAGTACGAGCACTATGTAATATGCTCGCAAGCTATTCTTGTTTGGCTCAAGGAACGTTTGATAACGTTCCCTCTCACCTTTATGCATTACCGTATCATCTATGGCCTTCTGCCTCGACTTTTTCGTCCTGTGGCTGTGATATATTTTAAAAGCAACCGCAATAATGACAACGACAGTTTTACGTTCGCTTGAAGCAAGTCTAATCGTGATGATGAACTTCAATTTGCTACGTATGCATTCGTGGTCAATCAATGTGCGGGGGTTTGACCCTGTGAAAATAAGTGGTCGCGCCGGATGGAACGCATTTCGCACATTTCGTGTTCGGTCTCTTCATTTTAGAGTACCAGTATGCGAAACTCAATAAGCGGTTCTAATAATGCTAGTAGTGGCCAATAGCGAAAATATGTGAGTTGCAAAGCTGGACTTTGCAGAACGCCCTGAAAAGTGCCATGACGGAACTAGGGATAAATGTTCGACGAAAGTATCTCTATATGTAACGAGAAGATTGGCAACGCGATATTTTCATCACATCCCCGGTTCGTTTGAGCAGAAGAAAATTAAGTTTACGTGGAGCATCCCCCACGTCGTTTTGTACCTATCGTTGGAACGCTATTTGATCTTCCCTCATGATCACATTGTGGCAGTCTCACAATTCCCGAAACAAACAAAATATGAAAACTTCAGTTCCGAGCCTACAACAGCAAAAGGTGCCCAGTCTCGTCTTTGGAGCCCACTCGTCTTCCAACAGTCTCGTATCAATCCTGTCGTTTGAATCGCGAAAGGATGTCGCTCCACGGGTTCCCAAGCGCAAGTCATCCAGTGACTTGTTCGTTGGATACAGGAGCACCAGTGACCAACAGTGTGAGAATTCTTCTTCCAATGCCAGATTCGAAGATGGCTGCAACAGCGAGAGCCTTGTTGGATCTACTACAACGATGGCATCGCTGATCGATGGATTGGGTTGCCTTTCTCCTGTTGCCAAAAAGAAGAGCTCGATGAAATCAATTACATCCTATCGCCTAATGGATGACCTAACCACAAAATCGGATACACCGCCAGCTATCCCACAACGAGAGCTCTCTACCGAAAACAGATGGGCCATTCGGGAGTTCTATTTCGAATGCGCAACAGAGTGAAGAAGTGACAGCACCCCATGAACTTTGACGGAAACATCCGCGACAAGCACTCCAAGTCACAAGACCACCTGGGAATCGGCCATATCCAAAAAGCTATCAGTCACATAGTCGTGCGATGACAAATGGCAGAGACACAAAAGACAGCTAACATAGAAAATAAAAGTACAATAGCTACAGTAGAACATCAAGCAAGGGCTCAATGCTCATTCAAAGCATACTTAATATTGGATCATTTGCCATCAACTCAATTGAAGCTATAACTGTTCCTTCAAAGGAGAGCTGAATAGCCTCGAGTCCAAGGTGATGAACAAAACTGCTCGCAACCGGTAGCCTCACATATTTTACGACAAGAAAGAAGCAAATGCTTACAGATCTCACCGGACTAAATCCTACTAGAAGCTACCAGTACATTCGTTTCATCCGTGGCACAATGGTGGATTCCTGCGCTGGCCCTTTCTCATCCAGCGAGCGAACCCAAAACGAACGATATATATCGCATCTCGTGTCGTACCTGGTACCTCTGGTAGCGTTCCATCCCACATGTTCCTAGTCCTATTTGATTGCAATCTGCCTCGACGTTTTTGACCTGTGGTTGATTGGGGCGGTTTGCGATTGATTGATTCATTGGCCTATATGGGTCATGTGCATCATTCACATCGCGTCCTTCTTCAGTACTGCCCGAAGCTGTCATGAGTAGTCTTATATATCCTTCTGTAGTACTAGCCGTAGCAGGTACCTGTTAACACATGCATTTGATCACGCTATGATGACATCGATGGTTTTCACATCAACTTGAAGTGCAATCATGATGAAGATGCTTTTTATTTCGATCGAACCAGGAACGTGTATATGTGCGTGCGTGGCCTGGAAGCTTCGAGTTGAAGCTGGTACACGTATATAAGTCCCTGCATGTTGTCAAACGCGACCGTAAGAAAAAATGATAACTACAGTAAGTCTCGGAGGAAGTTTGTCGCCGTTGGCATATTGTATATATATCAATCAGTTGCGAAGTTTTGATGGCAAACCGCCCCTTCAGTGCACTGATGGAACCAGGGATTAATGTTCCAATACAATAAGTAATCGCGATATCTTTCTATCGCATCCCCGTTCGTTTGAGAAAGACTTCAGTATAATACGTGGAGCGTTCCCCACGTCGGCACCATGGTTCTTGATTTCCCCGCACGCCATCACATCATGTTAGTCTCACAATTCTTGGACAAAAAATGATGACAGCATCAGTTCCAAGCCTAAAGCAACAAGAGGTGCCAAGTCTCGTCTTACTTGGAGCTGCCGAATCGCCTTCCAACAGTCTCGTATCAACCCTGTCGTTCAAATCGCGAGAGGATATCGCTCCACGAGTTCCCAAGCGCAAGCCATCAAAAGATTTGGACAAAGTAAGTAGCAGCAAGCAGCAGGGTGATAATTTCGTTGCAAATACCAGATTCGACGATGGATGCATTAGCCAGGACCTTGGATCTAGCACTAGGATGGCATCGGTGGTAATGGATAGCTTGAGTTGCCTCTCTCATATTGCAAAGAAGGAGTGCAGGATGACATCAACTAGTACATCCGTTCACCTGATGGATGACCTGACTACAAAATCGGATACATCACCGACAATCCCACGACGAGAGCCCTCTTCCGAAAGCAGTGGAGCTATTCGAGAGTGCAATGATGCATTTCGGATGTACAACAGAATCATGAAGAAGTGATATCATGACGCAAATGGGACATACCAAATAAGCTGTTGCCATACTATATACTACTATGAGGCAACAGACAAGGGAGGTGACATAAAAAATAGAAAATAAAACAGACTTTGATCGAAAAGGCTGGAAAATTTGAAAGCACACTGTCAAAACGCGGGACTATATAACCTCAATTGCGATTTACACGATAGTTTTATCCTTTCCCCGCGAAAATCTGGTCACTCCTGTCACTCTGTAGCGACCATGTTAGAAGACTTACTTAGTTTTTCATATTTGTTCTGGACCTACTACTGTACCGGAGATTGCGTCTGTCATGCGAAATAACACGACTACAACAAAATATAGAGTGTCTCATTCAAAGCATGTACTGCGAGGGGGTCTATCGAAGATTGGCGCCTACCGCCTGGTTTCTTCCGTGAGGGATTCTTTCTCGGTGTGACTTTGGTGGGTTGTGGTGTGAAGCTGGTCTTTTGGATTGCGCGCGAAGCGTGCTCTTCCAGAAGACCAGTCTTTGATACCCCCCGAAGCGGAATATCAGAGACTTGCTTGCCTACTAGGCCATGCATTGATGCAAATTATTTAATAAATAATTTGCATCAATGCATGGCCTAATAGAGATGTGGAGGGAGGTATTTCTTGATGTATACTCGCACACAAGTTCGATAAATTGATCGGACTTGGTGTTGCGGAGCAATGCTGTTGGCGAAGTTTCATGAAAGTTGAAAACGGTCGCTCGACCGTCGTCAGTATGATGAAAGGAATGAATCCAATGATTCGTTCTCAAGCTTTCGTCTACCGGTACGTTAGACCATGCATATTGAATGAATGATTATTATAATCATCACCAATCTTAAAAGATCGGAAGAGAAAAAGGTCATTTCCACCAAGGATGTTTCCACCTTGGACGTCACACCTATTTCAGTTCTTCTCACATTTCTCATGCAAAGACGAATGAAGAAATTTGAAATATCACGAGACTGAGCGGTGTGAAGTCGCACAATTTGAGAAACGAACGAAACAATGGACAAGCCAGTTCCAACACAACTACAACAAACAGTACCCAGTACCATCATGGGAGTTAGCTATTCTTCCAACAGTCGAGTATCAATCTTCTCATTCCAATCAGCACGGAAGGATATCGCCCCACAAGTTCCCAAGCGCAAGTCATCAAGAAAGGACTTGCTGTTTGGACGATCACGCAGGCGTCATGCAGAGCGTGATGAATCCGCGGCAAATGCCAGATTCGACGATTGTTGTGGTGGTCAGAGCATTGTGTTTATAACCATGATGACATCCCTGACCGATGGATCCTCTTGTGACACCGAAAAGAATAGCATCCTCCTCCCCTTGCCTGATATATGGACGACTGGGCTCCTAAATCGGATTCGCCACCGAGAATCCCTAAACGAGAGCCATTGTTGTTTCTTACTGACCAAGAAGGAGACAAACGACGAGATACTAATACCGCACTACATCGAACGTCACAGGAGCAAGTGTTCGGGCCGTTGGAAATTTCATAGCTATCGATTTGTACTATGAGTAATGATTATGAACTGAACATCACTGGATTGCGATTGGTCCGACTAGAGCATCAAAGAAAGCAATCCTAATTTTTTTAAAAGTAGACGTGACTACAAAATACAATGCACCTCCGACAGTCCCACACGATGAGAGCCCTTCCGGGAAACCTATTCTTCATCATTAATCAAGGAGAGTATCAGAGTTGGACATGAGCTTTCTTGACAAAACCAGCTACCATTCAATCAAAAAGTCACAAAAGCAAAAGTATCTGCAATACTACGACGACCGCGTGTTGGTGCTTGTTTGACGGGCTGATGGTGCGGACATCACAAAGATGTCATGGTGGAGTGCTGGGCATTTGATGCGCAGCACTGATTTATCACACGAATGACGGAGATAGAATACTTGGTGCGGCCGTGGCACCAAACTGCTGGTAATATGTACTGTGCCAAAAGTGAGAGATGTCGTAATCGGTACGAACGTTAGAAGATTATGATGGCATTGCTGAATCTTTATATGCGTGCTTGAATCATCAATACAATACCTCGCATTCAACTATCGAGATTCCAAGATTCCAAATGGCTATTTCACTGTTGACAAGTGGCACGTTCACGAGGGTAATTAAGCACAAGGGCTTGCCTGCATTCTATATTCAATCTTCCTTCAAAGCCTTGTAATGATTTGCAATTGTTGGGAATCATACCGCACGTGGTAGCAATGGTAACATCTAGCTAGGGTCAATTTTGGGATCATTTGAAAAGTCTCACAATCACCAGCATCGAATTGTTGCAGCATTCCCGAAATCAGATACTGTAGTGTATTAGGGACCACGTTGTGCTTGGCCACTCAGCCAAACAAGATCAGGTGTGAACATCACCGCTTCGCCCTGTCAAAGGGTCTCGTGGTTGGAAGTGTTTAAAAGTGTTTCTACGTGCGTTCCTTTCAATCTCACAATAAAAGCCACTCGTCTTGACGACGCTAAAAACACTTTCCTCATCTACATTCGACGGTGCGTACCACCAACATTAGCAACATGATTTTTACCAGAGAGTCGAGCAGAAGAAAATGATTCTGTATTGGCATTTATCGTCTGTGAAATCGAAAACTTCGAACGCGATAGATTCTCCCAATTCCCACAGGTGATGCTGACTATCAGACTGACGTCTAGCGCGATCAAATGCGAAAACAATAATTGTGCGGTTCAGGTTAGATCTTGGTTGGAGCATCCCGCCTTCCTATTGTTTCGACTTGTTTCCTAAATGTTGGTCACTTTCTAGGTTTCAGTGCTCAGACACTTTTCTTCGAACCGAACCACAGAAAGATGCTCCAAGAAGATACATATTGGACCCGTGCCAATATTCAATATCTCGAATTCCACCGGAGTGAATGAGCAGAAGAAAGTATTGATATCGTACTCGCGGCTTTTTGCGCTACAAGCCATCGGTGTTGGGAGCTCGGTTGGCCCGTGAGATCGAATCCATAGCCCCACAATTCCCAAAAAAAACTATACGAACATGAAAGTTCCCAGTCTCATCTTTATTGAAGCCGCCGAGTCTTCCAACAGTCTCGTGTCAACCCTGTCATTACAACCGCGAAAGGATCTCGCCCCACGAGTTCCCAAGCGCAAGCCATCGAGAGACTTGATCAAAGAAAGGAGCAGCAAGCAGCAGAGTGATAATTCCACGGCCAATGTCAGATTCGACGATGGTTGCAGTAGCCAGAGCCTTGCGCCGACTACCGTTACGATGTCGTCGCTGATCGATGGATTGGGTCGCCTCTCTCCTCTCGCAAGAAATCCAATGACACCGATACAAATATCCTCTCACTTGACTACAAAATGCGATACACCGCCAACTATCCCACAACGAGATTCCTCCCGAGAAAGCTATTCGTCGTCATTAACCAAAGAGACAAACGAGAATATCTTGTCACATATGAAACTAGCTGCAGAATTGGACATGAACTTTCTCGACAAGATCAGCTACCATTCAATCGAAAGTCGCAGAAGCAAAAGTACAAGGAGCAATAGGTCAATTCTTGCTTGCCCTACACAATTGATATGCCAAAGCCGCCATGACATGCGGCAACACTAAGCGTGATCACGACTTCAACAGGGGAGGAGGGATGAATGATGGAATACTCCAAAACACTTGAATTGCGCTGGTGCGATTAAGTGGCATAGAACGACCCAATTCCCATACAACGATGCAGTGGAGTATTGATAGAATTAAACAGTATTTTAAAAATAGATCATTTTTACAAAGTAATGGGAATCGGATAAAATAGTAGAGCCGACGAGATTCCGATTGGTATTTTCACTGTTGAGATCTTTGGCATATCATTCGCACAGGTCCCGTGACCCTCGACGCAAGAAGGAACCGGAGCATACGGTATGCTCTAGTTCTCCACACCGGCCACTGTGCACGCTCCTTCTGCATAATACAAGACTAAAGTGTAATGCGTGTTTGGTCGCTGCCTGTTTCGGTGTTTCCCGCCGTTTTTGAAAACCGAAGTCAGTTTAAAAAAATCCGTAGCCCTGCTATTATACAAAAAATTACGATCGATCGAGTCGGAATTGGACTAAATCGACTACTCCTCCGACCGACATTCTGGAACAAAAGGCAAGAGCCCCATCTTGTACGATATGACCTTCTTTGTTTACATATCTTAAAATCTGAATATGTACTATTTGCCTACAGTGTATAGACTAGAGGTGTATCCATTTTAAATTCCAAATTTTGGTCTAGAATGCATGGAATTTCGAAACATTCAATCAAGTCACCAGAAATGTTGGGAAGGGGTCAACGGGAAACCAGAGCCAGGAATCTCATTTCTGCAGCACACAAAGTCGAAATAGATAGGTATATTGAAAACTTTTGGTCTGGATACCGACACGGTGACTGGGATAGATTCTTGGCTACTTCTGGATTGCATGCCAAATTGACAACAAAGATCAAGTAGGTGCAATTCAATCACTTCTACCTTAAAATCTCAGATTCCAAGCCGCCAAACCTTGTTAGATATACCCATGGACGACGAATAAGTGTCAGACCAAGGAAGTTTGAGGAAATTAGGCCAAAAATTCGACAATTCAAGAATTTTCAACCAACTTACCTCTTTTCTGACCTCATTTTGGCCTCATGATACTTAATGTAGGCCGAATCATTGTCTCGGTCCCGAAAAATCGAAGCCTGATGTATTGGTGAATGGATTGATAGCTGTCTCAATGGTGGCCACAGGGACATTCAGAGCGGCTGAGAAACCGCGACAACACCCAAGAAGGAAATCTAAAAATCTTCGCAAATCAAACAAATAAAGTAAATCAACAATGCTCCGCCGTTGTAATAGATATCAATAAAGCAAACGGATAGGTGGGGGCGCATTTGCAACTGTTGCAAAGTAGGCGGTGGTGCCATTTTTGGTTTGGCCGTAGAATCCTTGAGCATTCGCACTTTCACTGTCAATGTTTACCAATTTGGCAATTGATAGGGCAACTGCACGACCAGGTCTGCTTTCGTTGGCTCAAAGTCGAAGGAATTTCCACCAAAGTGAATGGTCAACTTCAACCAGTTCGTTTGTGACCTCCATCGCCGTTGGTATGTAGGATGCAAAAGTCGGACGTTGTTCAACACAGCAGCGGTTTGCTTTGCTTTGCTTTGCTTTGCTTTGCTTTGCTTTGCTTTGCTTTGCTTTGCTTTGCTTTGCTTTAGATTGGACTGGCATTTGCTTCCGGTCGGAAAATTTTTCGGCAATATCCTGCCTTATTGTCTATGGAAGGGATTCGTTGACAAATTTCCCGATCGGAGAGGCTTCTTGGACGGTAACAAGCCTCCAGAAGGTTGACAGTGTAAACATTATGGTGTTGCTTTTTTAGCCATGAATTGTTGACAAAGCCTACCAGAGACAATATATTTCTACGGACTTTCTACAGCGTGTTTTCAAAAACTGACGCGAGCTGTATTTGTAGTCATGGATCGAGCCTACATAGATCTTCCTCCACTGTGTAGTCAATGTTAACGTGTCCATTCTATCGCAACAAAGATTCAACTCCCTCCACAAAAATATTCATCTTTGTGTGATTCATGCAGCAGCCTGGTATCTTCTAGCGACGACCCAAGGAAAGATAGCATACAGCGATACTCGCCGGCTTCTTATTCGTTTGATGTCGATGACGACTACAAGGACTGCGCGCGATGGCATCGATAGTGCTGATGCGCACTTGAAGTGTAGTCGTGATGCTGTTATTTCACCATGCTTCGCGTGCCTGTAGCTAGTGATCTGGTCATGATGTATAAAAGGAATGGGTTCTCTATGGCACTTTTCCCTAATCGTGATATTGTGATTTAGGTACTGTATGAAGAAAGAGGTAATTGTATGAACGCTTCGTAGTGAACTTCGTAGAATCCCACCATCTCATGTTCAGTCCGTCTGCAAAATTCAATAGCTCTTGGTGAACCCCTGCGGTATTGATAAAATATATTTCTTTAAGTGGAAATTTCCCGGTACACTGTTGAAACGCCCCTCCGAAATACAAACAAACATCACTTAACCGATAATTTCATCCTTTCCCTGTGAAAATCCGAGCAGAAGAGAAAAACAGACTACGTAGAGGTCATTTTCACGTCTCGGTACCACCAAAAGTGGAAATTTGAAATCTCACAATTTTCAGGGAAACAAACAAGGAAAGAAAGAAAGAAATGAACACGCCAGTTCCAGCTTTAATACAACAAAGAGTACCCAGCCTCACCATGGGATTCACCGGACCTTCCAACTGTCTCGTATCAACCTCACCACTCCAATCGCGAAAGGATGTCGCCCCACGAGTTCCCAAACGCAAGTCATCCAGCGAGGACTTGTTGTCGTTGTCGTTGTCGGTTGGACGATCGCCACTCAGGAGCCATAAGCAGTGTTATAGATCCACGGCAAATGATAAATTCGAAGGTTGCTGTGGTAACCAGAGCCTTGGGTCTCAAACTACGATGACATCGCTGACCGACCGATTGGGTTGCCTTTCTCCTATCACTACTAGTACTAGCAGTAGCTCCTTGATGATGATGACACCGACAAGAAGAAGCACATCTTCCTTCCCTCACCTACCCATAGACGATTGGGATCCTAAATCGGATTCTCCACCGACAATCCCTAAACGAAGACCATTGAATGAAGCTACTCTTTCATTCTGACTACAAAGGATGCAAAGAACGCCTAGGAGATAAAGTACAACCGAAAAAAAGCCTCAACAACCTGAGCTCGTATCACTAGAGCAGATGGTAATCCAAAGAAAAGCAAAAGCAGAAGAGTTCAGCCCGTTGGAAATTTCACAGCTATCATTTTATACTTTGAGTAATGATGATAAGCTCAACATAACTGGATTGCGATTGGTGTGACTAAAAAGCATCAAAGAAACCGATCTTCAGTCAATTATTTATTTTTTAAAATAGGTGATTTTGATCACTTTAACATTATTTTTAAAGAAAAGATCAAAAGCATCCTGTAAGATGTTTGTTTACCAAAGCCACCCCTTCTTTTCTGGTTCCGGACCAATGGGTTTGGCATGAGTAGGATTGGAATTGGAATTGGTATTTGTCGTTTCCGCGAGTTCGGTTTTTGGTGCTGCCTTGGTTGGTGTTGTCCTCTTTGGTTGCTTAACAGTTGGACACTTGTCCAGTTCTTCCACTATCTTGGCCATGGTAGGTCGTTCCAATAGGTGATCGGCCCCTTTTAGGCAGTCGCCCATGACATGACGTAGCTCTTTTGACCATTCTGTGGGAATGTACTTGTTTTCGGTACTCCAATCGCGAACCGTGGTACTAATGGGAACCTCTAGAGTCAAGAGTTGATATACCAAAATCCCGAAACTGTAGACATCTGCCGAGCAATTGTACTTTTGGTCTTTGAGTTTGATTTCGGGAGCCATGTACCGTGGGGATCCCACATTGTTGGTCATTTGAAAGAGGTCGTCGCCACCATCTGTAGGTGGTGGTGGAAGGACCCGAGCCAGATCAAAATCAAAGACTTTCAAGACCCCTTCTTGATTGAATCCAATGTTTGCTGCAATATATACGACAAGAGAATTTGAGTGAGTGAGATAGTGATGTTGTGCATGCATTCGTTCATTGAGTCATACGGATATAGTATAGCATAAGATTCATATTTTGACCGTTGTCACTTGACTTACCTGGCTTTAAATCCCGATGCAAGACTCGATGTTGATGCAAGTGTTCCAATGCCCTGGCCATTCCCAAGATGTACCGACACTTTTCAGCCAATATTTTCAGGTATTCTGGTTGAGTCGTTTCTTCGTAGACATAATACCACATGCTAGTGGATGCCAGCTGCCAAGATTCGAATTTCTTGTCCAACGTTTTGACGAGTAGTTCCAGCACTAGTGAACAATTGTCGGGATTCCCTTGCAAGTAATCCGATATCATGTTGGGACCAGACCACGCGTAAATGTCAATTATATTTGGCTGAGCTGTTCCAATCAAGTGTAATATTTGTCCTTCCTGGATCAAATCGGCAGCACATGCGGCAAAGAGGAGTGGATTCTCCTTGACTTTGGGACTCAATTGTTTCAGAATTTGCTTCTTGTGGTTTTGGTGGTTGTTATTGGTACCGTTGGTAGGACTTCCGTGGCTACTGTTGGTAGGACTACTAGCATTGTTTTTGTGGCTGTTGTGTTTCATCTTTATTCTGTTCCTTTGTTTGTTGATAAAACTGATACCTTTCCCTTCTTTGATTTCGTAGGCAGACGAATAACTCCCATGTCCCAATAGTTTGCCCAACTTTAGTTCCGACAGAGCTACTTGCGGCAACTCAAGCTGACCATCTGCTATTGGAATGGATGTCGTAGTCTTGCTTCGACTCTCTGCAACTTGTTTGGCTCGAGCGGCAATGGCAGGAGGCACTGGACCTCCCTTTTTATACACATACGGAGTTCCTTTATTGTTGGGACTTATTGTCGACGTTGTGTACGACGGCGATGATGGTTTCACCTGCTTATTGACAGGGCTCTTCATCTTTCACAGCAGTATGTGTGGTGCTGTGTATTGTCTTATTGTCTTTTATTATTGTACCTATTCTGTGGATGGGGACAGTTTCTATGATGCACAGTTACTATACAGTATGAAGAAACGCTACTCCACCTGTCATTTGCCTTATTTGCCTATACAGGTATATACCGGTACTGTTGGCTGGCAAAGAAATCGAAGCAGAATAATTTGAATCAGTCCCGCTACAAATATTGATTCATTCCCGATTTGCGCTCCAGTGAAAACGCACATAATCTGCGCATGCCGTGCGACAGAAAAAGACTTCTTCCTTCCCCCAAACCGCCAACCCGCTCGATCCAACAATGCCAGGCGCAGATTAGATTGCCAAACACGAAACGGTTATCTGTTGTGTTATTGTTGTTGTGCATTCCGAACCAGATACTCATCACCATCAGCTCATCCACTGGTTGCTACAGTATTGATTGTGCATCATCTTCTGGCTGACTTTATTGTATCATCACTGAAGCAGCATATAAACTCTGACGTAACGCAAGCAAGGAAGCAGGCAAGCTACAAAGATGACCAAATCCACGGTATTTCTTTCAGTATTGTTGACAGTATTGTCATTTTGTTGTCAGAGTACGTCAGCCCAAAGGTGCTTTACATCGAACAATGAGCTCCTCGCAGCCACTCGAGTCCATTTTCAAGTCATGGGAGGGACTCAGGTCGATGAAGTTGCCTTTGATCAAATGACGCAAGAATATGGAACGATTGAAACTTGGTGCACTTCTCAATTGACCAATTTCTCGTCCGTCTTTTCCGTGGCAGCTCATCCCGCCGAGCTTACACCCGCCATCAAGGCATTCAGTCAAAATTTGGGTGGATGGGATACTTCAGCAGCCACCGACATGTCATTTATGTTTTTTGGTGCCGAAGCCTTCAATACCAACATTGTTTTGTGGCAAACGTCTCAAGTCACCAACTTTGAATCCATGTTTGCCGAAGCCAAGGCCTTTAATCAGCCCGTTGGGACTTGGAACATGGAGGCCGCGCAAAATGTAAAGGAAATGTTTCGAGGGGCCGAGGCCTTTAATCAAAATTTGAATGGATGGAATACTCCCATGTTGTTGGAGTTGGCGGGCATCTTTAACGATGCCAAGGCATTCAATGGAGACATTTCGTCGTGGGATGTCAGTCAGGTCAAAGACTTTTCGACCGTCTTTCAAGGGGCTACCAATTTCAATTCCAACATTGCCAATTGGCAAACGAGCAATGCCCTCAATTTTGCACGATTGTTCATGCAAGCGTCGACCTTTAATCAAGATATTTCCAGTTGGCAGACTGGACAAGTCACCGACTTTTTGCATATTTTTGATGACGCCACTAGCTTCAATCAACCCATTGGCAATTGGGATACCGGATCGGTCACCAACATGGCCAATGCCTTTCGGGGTGCTTCGTCCTTCAATCAAGATGTCAGTGGCTGGGACATGTCACAAGTGAGCAAACATGACAAAATGTTCATGGACGCCATCTCCTTCAATCAAGATTTGTGTGCCTGGGCAGATGTCTTTCAATATTCCGAAGTGGGAAACTTGTTTACCAACACGGCCTGTGTTTTTACGGAGGATCCAGAGGCTGACGTGATGGGACCATTTTGCAAGGAAGGTTGTTCCAATATGGTTGGACCGGGGCCGGATTTTGCCGATCCTCCAATCACTTCTCCACCAGTCGGTGTTCCAGTCGATGGGGAACCCGGCATTGGTGGCGGCGTTGGCGGGGCTCCAACCAGATTTCCCACACCGCCACCCACTCCGGCAGGAGGATCAGCAGTTGGCGGTCCTTCGAGATTCCCAACCCTACCACCCAATTCCTTATTTGCTCCCACACCGCAATATGCTACCATCAAGAAGCGAGAACCCATGGACGATCAAACCAAGGCTTTGATCTTTGGGATTGGCGGGGCTGTTATTCTGGCAATTGTGGCTTTGAGTACGGCCTGTTGTGGGGAACCGGCGGGATCCAAACAGTATGAAATGGAAATGGGAGACATGGCTCCGGCGGATCCCAATGCCTTACCAGCAGATCAAGAGTATTATGGCGAGGAAGAAGATGGTGGTCATTCTGGAGATTATGGTGGTGATGATGATGGTGATGATGATTATTCACAAGAATCGGATGGGAGTCCAGAATTGGTATAATGTGAATCAAATCCATTTACACAAAATCTAGTGGGCGCGACGATATATTGGGGAAATGACACGAGCATTATTTTATAAGAACAAGACTGCATCGTGTACTAATGCTACATGATGCTTTGTATCGTATTTGATACGTCTGTGTGTGTTTCTCTCATCATTTCGATATTGACAGCCTCTGTGTTTTTTAAACATTAAAATAATTCTATCAGCATTCAACAATATTTGGTAGCCTTTACAATGTTTTAGTGCTATCACCATTGACCAATAATGGATGTTTTGGATGCCACGTCGCAACCGTCTCCTGTTTTGGGTACCCCAAGCACTCCTTGTGGGCCTAGTCGGCGTGTTTGAAGCATGATATGATTATGATGGCTTCTATTCAATGGTCACGGTATTTGTGCCGTCCAATGGAGTCGTCGAGCCTTTCTTTCCTGTACTGCAGCGGCTCCTGGAAAGTTTGATAAAGCAAGCAACCGAAGAGCTTTCACATTGCAAAATGTTTGGCTGCTGGAAGAGCATTCTTCTTCCTGTTATTGGGTTCGCTTTCTAGTAATCATATCTTCGTTTTGGCATAGTTGGTGGTGAGTCACATCTTGGGTGCGACGATGTAGGGAAATCTGATGATCGTGTTGCCTTGTGTCTTGGCTTTCTTGGTGCAACATCCATTTGTGGTGACCCAGAGCAGGAGAGGAAGGAGTCCAGAGATGGCGGGAGACTACTGGAAGAGCACTGGTCTTGGTTGACAAACAAAATGAGAGTTGGAATTGTCATGTTGTCTTTTTGTTAGCGTTGTCAACTTTGAAGTTTGAGAATTTGTGAGGAGAACTGAACCGTACAGTAACTTGTCTGTAGTCGGGCAAATAGATATGACCTTTTCGGAATGTGCGGTGTATTCTTTCGATTTGGACGGGGGCACTAGTAAAAAGAAATATAATGCGTGGCAGTACCTGCTGGTAACAGGTACCCTCCCTCCCGTGGTTATTGATTGATGAAATTTCGCTATGATATAATATATTTAGCTGTCTTCGTTCGACGACGCTATTGAAACTATCAATGCGTTCGTTATTACTTAACCCCAACCCTAAAGTCAAGTGCTTTTTGGTTGCGTATCCAAAATCGGGACTGTGGACAGGACAAATTACCATGTCTAGTAGAATAGTTACTGTAGATGTGACCTTTCGTGCGGCGTATTCTTTCGATCGGGGATGATATTGCGTGGCGGCCGCCTGAAGTGTTTCGATTGATGGAATTTCACACGATTTTACTTCCAAAAGCAGTGAAACTCATCTATTTTTTGCTGGTCTCAGCTGCTTCAACACCGCCACCGTTGCCCGCTGGCAACCGTGACCAGCTCAAGCTCAAGACGATGCGAAAGGGCCAGCCAGTCCTATCCCAGCTTGTAGCAAGGATATTGGAATATTTTTCTATGATATTCTTGAATATTGCATAGGGGCTATTTTTTAAAATAATAATATATAATATGTTCTTCTGTATTGATGATTTACTGTGGTTGTTCTTTAAAACGTTTTTCCCCAGCTGTTCTTGTATCTGTATCGTAAAATTTGAACGTTGATGCATTGGCTCAAACGACAGGATCTAAGATAATCGGCGTAAATTTCTTGTCTAACTACCCGCACTCATTGAAAACACATGAAACCTGAAGGGATTTCGGCTGAAGTCTTTGCTGCACTGATTCGCGTGCGAAGCGTAAGATATCAGCTCCCCACTGTCCAACAGCAGCAAAGGTTCGAGTTGGTCGAAGGTAGTAAACTATCCCAGCTCGCAATCTATGATATTGAAATGTTAACTCATGAGATCGCTACTGTACGGGATGAGTGAGTCAGTCGTCAAAGTTGGTGTGTAGGCTGGTCCTCGTTACTATGATGCTATGATCATTCGTCAAAATATAAAGTGTTCGTTGCGTACTGTCGTTGACATCATATATAAAAATCGTCGAGTAAAAGTTTGAGCACTAGTTGAAGTTTGGTCGCGTGGAAGGGGGGGGGGGGACTAAATACCATGTTAGCTCATGGGGAACACATGGAACCGCCTGATTGGAATACCTCTCGGCTGAAGTTTTCTCCCATACTGTATCAGTTTACAACAGGATCGTCTGCCGTCGTCGTCCTCGGCTCGAGCTGAAGTCGCGCAATCGAAAGAAAGCGTGTCACCGCTTGAATTTTGCGTGTCGAAACAGTTGTCGGTGTTGTTGAAACGCTGGAGACAGACAATCCCAGCCAGCCAGCTAGTAGCGTATTGAAATGTAGTAGTTGCAATGTTTGTTCTATGTATTTATGCTGTACAGTGATTCAAAGTGTTTCCATTTTTTGCCATTTTTAATAGCATCATATGCGTTGTTATCTTGCTGTGTCGCCTAAGTGATTCTTCCATCTTGTGCCTTATTAACTGGAATAAGCTGAAAAGCTCCGCATCACCGATGTTTGCTGATAGGGAAGATTATTCTCCTGGGAGTTCTTTAGTCTAGTCATATCTTCGTTGTGGTAAAGTCGGCGGTGCATCGAATTTTGAGTGCGACAGTTTCGGGAAATATGATGATGGTGCTGACTTGCGCTTTGGCATTGTTGGTGCAACATCCGTCTGTGACCGAGAGGAGGAGTCCAGGGATGCTAGACTACTGAAAGAAGACTCATGGGTGTTGGCAAAGAAGACGAGAGCTGGAATCGTTTGTTTTGATTTATGGATTTCCATTGCGGCTATTCCCAGTGCTTTCTTCCTTTTTGAGAAATTGTGAGCAGAGCTGAACTGCAACCAAATATCGTCTACTCGGGTAAATATAGATAGGCTCTTGGGATCATACGCTGTCCGATCGGAAATGGTGGCACGAATTAAATTGTGAGGCAAAGGCCCCCACCTTAGATAGATCTTTCTCTTTTACATATCGTTTTTCGTCTGATAAAGCGTCGTATCATTCGGTGTCACGTATACCGGTACCCAGGTATTCGGTACATGTACAAAATGGGAAGCACTGCCAATCCGAAATAGAGTCGAGCTTTCTTTGGTGCGTCTACAAGCGGGTTCAACACATAATGTGCAACGCTATAATATCTATTAAGCTTATAAATATCCTGATGAATGTGCCTTTGGCTCTGAGCCTATCAAAACCATAGAGGAATAAGAGAACTCACAGACGACATCATGGAACGATGTAGGAGTTATTGCCTCTCTCGTCGAACTATGAACTCACTCGCGGGTGAGGACGACTCACTCGCCGACTTACTTTTCCCCCAGAAGAAGTGCAATTCAGACACGAACATCATGATTCAAAGACTACCGGTATGATAGCCAGAGCGAAACAAATGTAGACAATAGACGCCGCACAGAAAATAAATTATCGCAAATGGAATTGGAGCTGATGGAATTGCCTCTATCAGCGGCCGAAAACAATACCGTCCCGGTCATGAATAACACATTGAAGTAAGAATATAGAATACACTTGACTGAAGATGACATTGAATGCAAGCTCACGGGGAATGCCCCCCTTCTCCAACCATTGACTCGTATTCGCTCGTGAAAACAAGACCAGCAGTTCAGTACTTTCCACAGTCCCAGCTCGCGCCAGACGCAACTTGTTTCTAATATTGGAAGATCCTTTGACTCGTCACGCAGTAGTCGACTGAAGTAGTTGTGCAGGGGACAGATCGTCTGTTTGAAACATCACGGTGATCGCAGATTGAAGAAGTTACAGGCGTCAGATTTGGCTAGAATAGTCAGCTCATCGAATGTAAGGTATTTTTAGCTGTGTAGTAGTAACATTTGTTTTATGTATTTATGTTGTGATGTTGGTCGCTGTTGTCGCTAGAAAGTGTTACCTGTCTACGGTCTAACCATGTCTTTCCACTTTGATCATGATCATGCAGTAGTGTTTGGAGGAGTACAGTGCAGTGCCTGCTGATTTGTCATCCTGTGAACCGACTGCATCGTCGAGCTTCTGCATCATTGACTTTGGCCAAAGTGGTGGTTTGTGTTGCTCCTTAGCTCTTTGCGGAACTGCTGTTTGCTGAGAAAGAAGAGTAGTAGCCCTCTTCTGTGAATTGGTTTCGGTATTCGCAGCATTATTGTCTAGTCATATCTTCGTTGGGGCATGGTTGGAGGTGCATCACATTTTGAGTGCGACGATGTGGAAGAAAAGGATGATCGTCCTGACTTGCGCTTTGGCATTGTCGGTGCAACATCAATTTGTGAAGGCGAGGAGGAGTCCAGGGATGCGAGGCTGCGGGAAGACTCGTCGTTGACAAAGAAGATGAGAGTTGGAACCTTTTGTTGTGATCGTTGGATTGCCATTTTGAATTTTCCTTTTTTATCTTGAGTTTGAGAAATTGTGAGTAGAGAGGGAGATCCAACATCAACTAGTCGGGTCAATAGATACGTTACTGGGGCCATCGTACCGGGCTCCTCTTCCGATCGGACATGTTCACATTGTGGTGGAACAGCCCCCATTGAGATTCTGAATTACACCGAATTTATCTTCTATGACGCTTTTTCGGTTGAAAAATGTCCTGTTCTATAATATTTTCTTTACATAATGAAAAAGGGAAGCGCGGCGAATCCTAAATTTTGTCTATCGTTTTATTTGTCGAGTTGACTGCAAAAGAGTAGATAGACGTGTGTCTCAAAAGAAAGTCGGGATCGTTAGTTGCAAAATAGACAACGAACATGAGCAGATCGCGTTGTACTTGCACTTGCATGGAACGAACGCAAGCTTACAGTCCATGATGAAAGTACCTCTTCCACTGAGCTTTTTTCATATTCGCGACGCATCATTCTTCTTCTAATATTATATGCTACGACAGACCCTTTTACCTCTGGATCGCGCGAAGCCAAGTACTCGTAGCACTACAAGAGGTATTTTAGAAAAATCCGTTGAAACAGCGTCTATACTGTACCGGTACGGCGGGTACAACAGAAGCAAGGGGAGAACCAGCAACATTGCAACTCTAAAGAGATGAAAGCGTCGTCAGGTAGAAAGGCAATACAAGCAGCTAGAATTTTGCAAATGGATTGAATGTATAGTAGCTTGTTGTTATTTACATATTTTGTCTGTCTAGTGTATATTATTTAGTATGCTGGGGGCAGCTGGTGGTAGATCATCTGTCGTTTTTGGAAGGCGTGTTTCCATACTCCGGGCAAATCCCTGTGATCTATGTTTGTTTTGCCCGTTGGCTTTGATTCATATTCTCTGCAGCATAGCACGATGGCTATTGGATCGCCATTGTTGCGATCGGGCCATTGTCGTTGTTCTTCTGTAACCTCCTCCTTGTTTTTGCGATCCAGCGGTGCTGATTTTATTGAACATGCTGAGAGCAAGCTTTGCAGTTTGGCCATTTGGATGAATATACCCTGACAATGTAGAGCTTTCTTCTTGGAACTGCTTTCTTTGTGGAAGAGCTGGTGCAGAATCGCGTCGTCTTTGGGGCATGGTTGGTGGTGGGGCATCTCCAATGGATTGCTTGCGTCTTGGAACCGTTGGTGGAACATCCTGTGATCGAAAGGAGTCGTCGATGGATGCGGTATTGTCCGAAGGCTCGATGGCACAAAAAATGACACTTGGGACCTTTGGATGTTGTCTTTGGATTGCCATTTTGCTGTTGAGTTCTTTTCTAAAATCTAAAATTGTGAGAAAAGCTAAAGATACAGTCTCGTTCAAAATGTCGGCGTAGCTTTGTGCCACACGGGTGAACATAGCCGCTCAACATATATTGAATATATATTCTTCTATATCATGGGACGAAACATGTGTCAGATCAACATCTCGTTCAACATCTACTTTAGGTGGGAGACTTATGGGTCCATCAAGTTGAAAATTTCAAAACGGTTTCGTGTGGTCATACTTCAATTCCGGTAGTATACAAAATAACGATCTTAGACGGATCGTAGAACACCTCCAAGGCAGGAGAGATTTTCTATTACTCCGGATTTTGATTTTTAGAGTAGTCGGACGGATCATGTATCTTTTCATGCGTCATCCATCGCCCGCCCGCGTATTTTGATCCACATCACGATTTTTGACACATCACACTGAAAACACCGCATGCCTCTCAACTACCAGGTACTTCCGAACCGAAACGATCATCCATCCATCAGACATTCAACACGTTGCAGTCAGTCTTGTTTTCGTTTGATACACGTCAATACTGTACGGTACATAATAGTATACATCACAATACATCACGAGTTATCAATCAATATGAAACTGTCTCTTTCCAGTCTCCTCCTCTTGCTCCTCAATTTGGCTCTTTGCGTGTCTTCCGGCCAAGCACTTTCTCTTGAGACATCCCACGCAGGCCGTCGTTCGCTATTAGGTTCGGCGTTGATTGCCGCTTGCGGTGTGGCTGCCTTGCCATCGTTTGCCGATGCTGTTGGTTTAGGAAAGGTCGGTGGAGATCCTTCCGTCTTTTGTGGAACTTACTCGGATCCCATCAATCACCCTGGTGGCAAGCGCACCATTACCCTGTTGGAAGGCAAGACTGGAGATTATCAATTGGCTCAAGTGCAAGGTGGCGGTGGTATTGGAGAGCCAGACAACTACATTTTACCAGCAGTGATCTTGGGAGACAGGAGTATCATTATTGATTTTTCAGCAAAGGGTGGGCCCCGTGATTTTGTGGGGGTATTGGATGGCAAGACTAAGGATATCAAATTCCTCAGAGATGGCAATCGTTGGCCACGAGTCTCATAAAGCAGATAAATCAGTCGTTCAGTCTATTGTTATAGCATAACATATTTTAATCTTCCTTCTTTTCCTCCTGTACCCCGCAAATATCATTGCCAACCTCGGTTGCATTCGGTTCCTTCTCTACAAACAAATCCGGTCGACTCGCCTGCAACTTGGGCCACCACGCTTGATACAATTCCGGTTCGGCTTCTTGGACTGCTTCTTGTAAGAGTGACAAGCGGGGATATTCCGATGCATAATTGTGGGTAATGGCGACAGTATCTTCCAAGTTCAAGACCAGATGTGGCCATCCAGCTGGCACATAGACTGTATCTCCCGGTCGTTGCAAAACCTCAATGGCACCCTTATAGGTTGTTTGAAATTCTTTTTGAAGACGAGGGTACCATTGCGCAAACCAAATGCTCGATGGAATTTGAGGATCTTGCATGCCGATGGAAGCTTGGTTTGTATCAGCTGGAAAGAGAACCCATCGTTTGCAACCTTCCACGACAGTCACCCACGCATGTGTACCAAGGGGGTCGACGTGCAAGCCAGTTCCTAATGTTTCAGAAATGGAGTATTATACTGCTGGTGAGTGGTGGGAAGAAAACGTATCAATGATATGGATAGCTTATTTCGCGAGACGTACCTGATCGTGCGGGTCCCATTAGGATCCACCGATAGGGTGGAGGACTCGGACCTTCCAAACTGGAGGTGCTGCAATTGTCTGCAGATGAGTCATTGTCGCTATCGGCATCATCGTCATTATTATTTTCAGTCTCTTGTGGTTGCTGATGATAGTGGTTCGTTTCGCCAGATTCATTATCATCATCATTAGTCTCCCCCCCTTGCTCCACCAACATGACATCTTGAAACAAATCCATTCCATCAAAACAGGGAGGGACTTCATAGTCGTTTAGTAACTGAACCCGTTCGTCCAAATGCAATTGCGAATCGTAGACGGCCAAGGGGGCATCATCAGTCAATCCTTCCATAGACTTTGTGTATTTGGTATAAGTTTCCAGCGACATGCAAGCTCCATGAGTATCCGAAAAGCGCCATTGATAGTCCCCATATTCCTTGAGTAAATTCTGCCAAGTACAGGTCTCCATGGCCTTCCAAGTCTCGGTGCATCCTTCCAAAATGACCGGCACGTTTTGTTTTTCAAACCAAGGATGAGAACCGGTCAATCCTTTGGTTTCTTGAGGTGATAATCGAATCGCAGCGGATCTTCCATCCACTATTGATAGAGAAGGTCCACCAAAAGCAGTACCCGGAAGACTGGGCGGTTCTTCAAATAATTTGGCTTGCAATTCTTTCCATGCCGACTGTTGCAACAGTTTGTTCGATAAACATGCCGATAATTCAGATTCTCGACGCATTAAAGTACAACCCAAACCCACGTTCAAAATTCCTTGCTGATAGGGATGATGCAGGACGGAATCTTGAGATAAAATCAGTCCTTCCTTTCTCCAACCGGGAAGGTCACATCCATCCAATAATGGGAGTGGCAGGAGTGGCAGTAGACTATTATCGTCGTTTGTTTCATCATCACTATTGTCATGTTCACCATCGTCATCGCCGTCTTCATCTTTGTTTCTGATTTCTTTTTTCTTGAGGGAAGTATGTGTAGAATCATCATCAGCATCATTGTCATTGGCATGAGCATCATCATTGCCATTGTCATTGCCATTATCACAAGAGTATTGCAACAAATGAGGTCGTTCTTCTTGCTTTACGTTCCAAACATCAAAGCGCTCGTCTGACGTCAGAAAGATGTCTCTTGTATCAATCTCGTCATGACTGATGGATGATGATGATGAGGATGATGAGGATGCTGATGATGAGGATTCGTCTATACAAGTCATTGCTAAGTTGGATTCTTGGTTGGGTTGAGGAGATGATGATGGTGAGACGATGATGAGCGATGCTTATGATGATGAGCGCGTTATATTGGTTGAAAATTTTAACAATGGAGAACTGCATGCAATCCCGCCTACCGGTATATGAACCAGTCATCTTTCATCCGTACCAAGACAGACCAATCTGCATGTACTCATGGATCATATCACATAAAATAATATTCAATATTGATATACCTACCGTATATGAAATAGAAATCAGAACAAGAATACAGAAAGAAAAAATTTGGAGTTCCTACAGTAAAAGGAAGTGTAATGTACATTAGTCTTATTGCTTGGTCCCTGTACCCAAAATGTATAGAAGCATGCAGTTGACAATATTTGAAATCGACTTGACTAGAGGATTCAAAGAAAAATAATGCCACTGACACTGCAAAAGTGGATGGGCAATCATGGGGCATCGCTGGCTGGCTGGGCAAGTGGAAGAAAGGTATGGACTCGCTGGTGAATGTAGTACACATGTGCAATACAATCGCAATGATTGTCTCTAGAACATTTTGTAGTGTCCATCATTTGTAGCCAAACTCAATGTATGCTTTCCGCAGTAGGCCATCTTCATTCCGAATATCGACATTGTGTGATGAATACGAAGCCAGGAATCGTTGTACCCCGTCTTTCCATGTAAAGTCATTAATTTGCTCTTGTGATACACTGGTCGCCACAATTTGTGCATCTCGCAAGGCATCGGATGGTTCCAAGCCCAGTCCTAGTAAAGCTGTAAGGGCTGCCGCGACATTTGGACCATTATTTTTTTTGTTCAGTGATGGTGAATCATCCTCATTCTGCAGCAAGGAACTATTACAGAATTCACGGCTTGGGCATGCCAAAGGATCCGTGCCACCAAATGGATTGTTCCAATCGTACAAGTACTCCGCCAAAATACTCCTACAGCCTTCACCTTTGGTGTGTTCTTGAAGTACATGAAACAACTGGCGGTTCGTTCTCGTTTTGGGAAGGCAATTGGCTCGTAGCATGGCAAGATGCACTGGCAAGTCTAGTGACATGACAATGGTCAGCGGCTGATCATTGGTAGGGGTCATCGTTTCCGTAGCATCCAGAATTTCTTGCAGCAGACCACCAACACGTTGCGCAGTTTCGGGTGCCACGATCACCATTTTGTTTTGTTGTTGTTGTTGTTGTTGTTGTTGTCGCTCGCTGGATGATGACGCACCAAGCACCACATGAATGCCCAAACAAGTCACTGAATCCAACCTTGGTAGATTCATTATAAGATTTTCAGCGTCTTCTTTTCCTTGTAATAATGTATGAACTGTCTCAAATGATGAACCATTGTCGTCGAATGATAATGAAAAGGAAGGCAACCATGATACCGTTGGGTGCAGAGAAAGTTTAGAATCATTGGCCTTATTGTCGGTCCCACCTCCTTTTCCATTCGCCCCATTTACCAATGAGACTCCAAAGGAAACTGTCGGATCTTCAGCTATTACCAACGTGGACCAAAGACAAGACGTTGCTGAATCACGGTGCTGAAAAGAGGTGATGGTCTTTGTGGTGGAAGTAGGTCCTCGTGGCAGATAATACTGTTGAGACTTATTGGCGATAGGTGAGATTTCGTGGACAACTGATCTGATGCTGCCAAATGATTGAAAGGCGACGCTCCGTGTGATCACTAGGAGAAGCACATGAAGTTTCAGATGATCTGAGGAATGCATCATTCATTTTCTGAATTTTTATTATGATTGATGACGTTTTATATTATAAAAAATATGATGATTTATTTTGATTTTGTCAGATCGGATTCATTCCTCCGAACTTGCCTCGAGTTGGGCTGCCCGCGCGGTACCATAAAAGCTACGCAGCATATCATGTACAAATAATACCGTGGTGGATTTTCAATTTGAACTATCAATGCGCCTATCTTAGTACTGGTACATCACGTATCTACGATGTAACAAAAAATACGAATTCATAGCATCCACTGGTTCATTCCACAATACCAGAGCTACAAAAGGCAGAACAAAGAAAATAGTTTGAAATAATGACAATAAGACATGCCAATCTAGTACTGTGCCACTAGTAGTAAGAATCCTAATTTTAAAAATGGTTTTCAGACGCCGCTGCTCCCTTTGTTGTGATGTCGTCCAGTCCGGTGTCATCCCGAAACTGCATGCACCACCGAGCATTGCCAATAAAATATGTGCTATTGGCAACGGGGGCTAAAGTGCATTGAGAAAATCAAGTGCATGAAGTTGAAAACCCAAAATAGACCAATTTGACTCGAACCAGAACTATACCCCTTCGCTTGGCGAAGTAGAGAGTAGCAGTGAAAATCAACACGTGTCAAAACTGATATTCGAATTCAGAACACCAGCAAGCAAGTATTGCTACTACACATCAACGTCTCTATCAGAATTCACGTGAATTGGATCCAACACATAGGATGAGTTTGCCGCCAAATCGCCATGCCGGATCAACTTTTGTCATTTCGGTGCTGATCGTTGCTGTCCTCTCCGTAGAGTCCTCTCTGGCCTTTCTCCAATCGAAGGCGTATGTCTTTCCATCATTGTCTCTGAAGGATATCGAAAAGGATCCTATGACAGGATTCTATGGCACCAATCATCACCATGCTTCTAGCCCAACAAGTCTCTCAGCAACCAAGTCCCCTACCGAATTCAGTGTCCTTGATATTGCCACCGATGCCCTCTCGAACCCAAGCTACCCACTCCATACCAAAAACCCCCTTCCATTTGAAAACCCGGAGATATACCGGGAGAAGAATCCTTTCTATCGGTCCACCAAGGCTGGTGCCTCCAAGTCCGAGACCACGACTACCACTGGCAGCAAGTCCACCTTCAAGTCGCAACTGAATGGATACCAACCCTTTTGGATGAAGACAGAAGCCAAGCCAGAAGTACCCACTACTGCTACTGCTGCTGCCGACACTTCTACTCGCCAAACCCAAACCATTGATCCCAGCTCCCATAATGTGATGATGTCCTCTGAAACGTCATTTCCATTCAGCACCATGCCTACTCCAAAAGTTTCCAAGAAGACTTTCGCCATCCCCAAGCCTGACGCTGTCCTTATGTCATTCAATGGCAGTACCAACCGTCCAAGTGAGGAAACAAGTTCAATCGATTCTGGACTAAGCAAGAACAATCCACCCAAGCATTCTGAGATGCCTCGCGCATCATTGTCCCCACCTTCTGAAATGTCCAAGAACTTTTCCAAGTCCCCTTCTAATTCAGCTTCGTTACCATTCAAAGGCACGAATAATGTCCATGTCGCTTCCGCAGCAGGCGACAAGGGTATCAATGAGATCCAATGCAAGTACAACGATCCCAAGACAGACACCAACAACAATAAGGATCCACCTCGAACGAATGGAACTCGGGAAATTAAGAAACAGTGGCACTCTGAAATTCCATCCGCCGTTGCCTCGACAGGCGCAAAGGTGGTCGAGACACTGGCCAAGGCGTATGCTCATCCAAGTGCAACAGAATTGTTGCCATCTGAAACGGCTTCTGCCGTTGCTCCAGCATCACCGTCGAGCGGTGATTCCAATAATGCTTATTCTATTGATTGGGAAAGTCGTCTCAAGGCACTCGAACAAGCAGTGACTTCTTTGGCCCAAGGCAATTCTTCAGCTGAAACAAATGTTTCGGTGGATATCAAGGATACCTCTATCGCACCACAAGTTCCTGTTGCGTCAAGAACCTCCTCGCCTCTTATTGTTGTCCGAAAGGGGGAAAAGAAGAACAACGATTGGAACATTATTAAAAAACTGCGCAACCAAGTCGAAGTCTTGCAAGATACCCTTCATGATATGCAACACTACGAAACTAAAACTATTCACTGGAGCATCCCAAGAATTGACAAGCATCTTCGACTGTCGTCGTCCACGACGTTTCGATCGGAAACTTTTAATGTTGGATCCATTCCGTTTCATTTGGAAATAAAAGTCCAAGAGGCGAGTGGAGAAGACGACGATCAATCCGTCAGTTTCTTCCTTTACCACAATCACCGTGATCGCTACCATTCGAATCCGCAATCACAATATTTTCTCCGGCCCTTTCAAAATGAAAGGTCTCGCAATAAGCCGATTGGTTCTGCAGCTGCTCCAATTCATATAGGTGGTTCCAAATTGAAAATTGGTGAGTTTGAATATGCTTTTGGTGACTCAGCTTTTATTCAGCTTGGGAAGCAAGACGGCTGGGGTTGGCAACATCTCATGAGTCTCAAAGATTTGAGAGAATACAAATGCATCAAGCGGGGACATTTGGATATGCAATTCCAAGTTCGCATGGAACGTGAGAATCATGACAGTAGCAGAGTAGGTGTGGCAATGATTTCGTAGGTATCGTGTTTGGCTTTTTTTTCTTAGAGATGTCATGCTGAGAGGTTGGACGAAAAAAGAAAATGAATGGTTGACAGTGACATTACCATCACATATCTTCGCGTGCGTCATCACTCTATCAATAACGATAGCGAATCAATCCATACAGAAATGTTCATTTTTCCTCATCTTCGATAGTACAGCTCGCAGTATGCAGCCTCTTTGTTCTTGTTTCCATAGGAGAAGCGTCTGTGGCAAAGTGTTGTTGACAGACGAGGGTAGACGACATTATATAGTGCCATGGCGATGATGGAAGCATTTTATTTTTTTTGGCGGATGTGAGCTTCAAGATAGCTTCTAGATCCGGGTTGTTTTTCGGAAAAATATCCGCAAACCGCAGATACGATTATCGCATAATAAAGCAGAACAATACACCATAGGTACAAGCCATACCTAAAAACTCAATCATGGACAGCGGCAACTTGACAAGATATGCTATTGGCGGCATTGCTTTGATTGGTGTTGTTTTCGTGGGCAAGGCCATGAACAAACAAGAATCCTCGTCAATAAGACGACCTGAGGAACAACAAGATACCTTTGAATCTCATGTGACACAAGATGATGGGAATGGACTCGTGGAGCTATCCAAGGATTGTCTTTGGCATGTTACCACCAAATTCAATGGCAATGGTCCTCCTTGGAGGCGCATGATTATTTACTGTCCTCCCAAGACTACATCTTTGCTACTAGTTTCTCCAACAGCCGCACGAGACGACATTATGCAACAGATTGAAGCCTTGGGCAGTGTGGACTATTTGATTATTCCCAATGCTTATCATCGAGCCGATGCAGCTGTTTACCATAAAAGGTATCCAAAGGCCAAGGTGGCAACCTTGCCGGATTGGGTCCGCAAGAAGGTTTCCGAAATCGTACCTGTGGATATGAATGTGAGAGAACTTGCCAATATCTTTCATGATTCGATCAAGGTGCTTCGGATAGGTGGCATGGGGGATCCTAGTAAAGAAGAGGGCGATTTTGAATATGCCTACGAGTTTCGTTGTTCCGATCAAACGTTGGCCTTTTATGTGACGGACGCCCTATTCAATTTTCAGGACAAGAGCACGGCGAATTGGATTTTTGGTACTCGAGGGATTGAACAGATGGACGGATGTTGTACTCCAGTGATGGGAAGAATATCCAAGTACATGGCCTTTGATAAGAAATTGGTGAAAGAATTTTACAGTGGATTGGCCAAACGAGAAAACATTTCCATGATTCTCATGGCACATGGAGATGTCTTTGTCGGAGATACCCAGAAGCCTTTTCAGGATATTGCTGACAATCTCAAATAACTATAATAGGTATGAATATAGCTGTACTATAAACAATGTCTCTATGTCTTGAGACGCTCAATAGATACAGGGATGCGAAGTTGTCAAACGATTGATGGGTTCACTCATTCAGACTAGTGCACACGAGCCTTGTGTTGTGTAATATGCAACATTGCAGTATCGCAGGTATCTTTCATAATAATTTCCGATGATAGTTAGAATCACTTTTCCATGCAGAATAGCACGGAAACGTTGGCTTTTGATGCTCTGAGGTGCGAAATTGTGAATTGGTTGAAGGATTGATTCACTCATTGAGAACAGAGTGGAAATCATTTGCCTATAAAAGCGCGGCATCAGGTCGATTGATACAATGACAACAGAACGATAGACAAGCAACGCAAACAAATATATATATGTAAAACAAATCCGGCGCTATCTTGTAAGTTTAGCTGCCCGTGACATGTTGTTATTGCTTCCTTCTCACGGCCAGAAAGGTCAACCTCCTATATCTTTTCACTAATAATCCCAACCAACCAACATATACAGACTATGCTAAAAGTCGCTCATTCAATTTCAATTGACTGAACATCATTTCATTCAGATTTTACTCAGCCTTGGGGGGCTTGGTGGAGTCCATAGGTCTAGACAAGACCATAAGCAAAGTTCCAGTGTTGTACTTCATGCCTCCCTTGACACTGTCGTGAATGACATTCATGAGATCAACCCAGTGCTTTTCGTCTTCTCGGGACATGCGAGCGTATCCCTTGTTGGCAATGTAGTTGAATGCCTGAAAGATTGAATTTGGGATTGAAATGAATGTTTCGATGGGATTGAATTCAGAATCAGAATTAGTTTGTTTCAGATGATGAATATGTGTTGAAACATTCATTGAAGTAAAGGATAACGATGAAAGAACAAAAATTGAGAATGTGTTGTCCGCCACAATGCAATGCTCATGTATTCACATTCAAAGTGTAAGGTAGAAGCAAAGATGCCCAAGATGCCCAACTGTGCATTTATGCACTCGCAAACACGACATACCTCTTCGAAGAAATCAAAGTAAACGCGGTTTCCTTGCTCTTCTCGGACAAGGAAATCTCCCTTTTCGAATCCAGCAGAAATGGTGGCAATGTTCATGGGGGTGGGGGCGGCAGCAGCTTCGGTCATTCTTGAAATTGAATTAGATTTACTGTAGTGTGTACCGGTACAAGTAAAGGTTTGTGTGTGATATACCGGTTGCAAGGATGATAACGGATGAGAGATTTGGAGTGTGTTTGGACTGCTGGCCGGCGGTGACGCATTTATTACAATTCCTCAGACGTGAAGATTATATATGTCATTCAAACTACCGAAGGTGCGACACGCGCAGACGACCGTTATGTGTACGTACACGTACCGGTCCCGATAAAAAATACCACCATCAAATTGTCGATCCGCTACTTCATTCTTCTAATACAAATTCCAACTGCATAATATATTATTGAATGGATGCGATAATGAAGAAAACCTGATGTTAGTGCATTTTTGTATCCATACTGTTATTAAAATAGCAGAGGACTGCATTAATCAATTCCCCTTGCCATGATAATCCTACAAGGAGTCTAAAGATGAAAGTGATGAATGACTATCAAGCAAGCAGTTACCTTTTGATTTAGAACGCGATCGTCATGCTCATTATTGTTCTCGTTATGACAAATGATGATACCAGAAGGTCAATCAGCGATATTTGCCACCATTCTATCTTCAGCAAAAGAGAGGGACATTCATGGCATCAATAATCTTCGGCTCGGAGTCATCTGAATCCACCGCTTAGCAACCTGCCTGGCTGACAAGAATAGATGATGATGATTCCAAGTGGCAACCATACCACAATTGTTCCATCTCTTGTTCTCTGTTGATTGATAAATCAATTCATCGATCCATCATCAATATGTTGAAGCACCAGAATCGCTATGACGACAACCAATTACACTGTACATTTCGTTTCATCAGCCAGAAACGAATGAAGAAGGGAACCACCATCCCATTATCAGCCTCATCATCAAGTTCACATTCATCTTCTTCGCCACGCGCTCCGCCAAGTGGCAGTGAGCATTTTATAAATGAAGTCCTCGTCAATATTATAGTTGCGATGTATATATTCGGGGTTCTGATACGAGTCGACTCATGGTATTAATAAAAGAGTGTACTTTTGGCACCCGTGATTTAAACGACGGTGTCAAATTTTAAACCGCATACTCGTACATAAAATATCCAAAATACAGAATCATAAAGACCACCTTACATAACTTTTTGCAACGAGTCTTTCCGAACCATGACGACTTCCAAACATTCCTCCAAGACCACTCTGCTCATGATGCTGGGTCACTTGGCAGTTCTGCTGTGTTTCCAGAATAATATTAATGACAACAACAACAACCTGGCGATGATGATGGCCAATGCCATCGCTCCCCCAAAATTTGGAGCCATCACCACGATGCAATCCCGTCGTCCTGACTTTGCTGCTGTACCACAAGTCCTGAGTTTGGGCGACAGTACTACTCAAAACTTATTGACGACACGGGGAGGTGATACTCTGGTGATTCGCAGGCGTCGTTACAGGGCGGTGGATCTCGGCGTCTTGGCCATTTGTATTGTGGCATTGCCGACGGTAACCATTCCGATTATTCGCCTTGGGGCGACCATCGTCGTGGCCGCCGTGGTTGTCAATGCCTTGACGGGTCATGGCTTTGTGGTCATTCGTTGAAAAGGACAAAGAAGATGAATACGCCATGATTTCAAAACTAAAAGCTTATCATAAGTCAGCCAATATTTAAAATGATTGTGTTACTGTAATAGTGATAACCATCACACGGCGCTGTACTTGTTTTTAAGTTCTTCATCCAAGCAGACTCCGAACGACATTGAAACAGCGAATTCCGACAATGTCGATGTCGACAGTCTACCCAACGACATCTCTGCTGGACTCTTATTGCCATGATGATGATCAGACGTCACTCATTCACTGCCTCTATATCTTTGTTGACTCTTCCAATACACCATAAGAGTACAATACCATTTATAGTGGGAAATTAAATACGTACTCTCTAGTATCAACACGAAAGTAGTGATATTTGAACAAGGGTTCTATACTGACGAAAGACCACAAAGCAATTGCCTTTTGAAGATGGTGTGGCAAATGGATGAAAGAAGTTGCCATCAATGATCCCTCTTGTTTCATACGAGAAGTAAGTATATCTGCGATACTTATCACCATTCTGCCTTCAGTAAAAGCGAGAGACACGCATGAGATCGAGAGTCTTCTGGTTTGAATCATCATATTCTGAATCCATCCACTGGCCGGCAACCTGGCTGGCAAGTAGGTCAGATAATTCCACTGCGAGATATGGAAATCAAATATCCGTTTTACGTCTCCTTCTATGTGGCAGTAAGAAAGTCCAAGATGTTTCTTCGTGTCCATCCGAAAGATGCATCAATCAATCTCAAAGTATCCGTGTTCCAACAAGTATTGAAGCACCAGAATGGCTACGACGACAGCCAACGACAATACGTTTCGTGTCACACCGGAATGGGGCGTACTGTGTTGATGAAAGTCACCTTTCTTGCCATCATTTTCACGATCCCCAGAGTAGTTTCCACCAACAGGCGGTGTGCATTGAATAATATCATCCGGAAGGTGGGTCCAAGATTTGGCAATCAGCAAGTTGGTCTTGGCGGAACCATCTTCTTGACAATTAGAAGAAGCCCCAAACGAAAGTCGACCAGTGACGATATCAGGAATAGCTTCGTCCATGACAAGTCTTCGAATATCCGAGTCGCAAACCGCACCGGCCATTTCGGTATTCTTGGTCAACTTTTCTTCGGCACAGGAACAAGGTAGGTCCTCTCCAATGTCGATATTTTGGTCTGGTTGGCAAGTATCAATCAATTCTTGGAGCTTGCCTTCCTTCCAACCACTAAATGGTATACACATGGAGTACCAAAAACATTGATGAGTATGATGATTCCAATAGGGGTGTTTTGGAGCATTGGCTGCACTGCTAAGTACAGTACTACTGCACTTACTTGAAAAAGTCAACATGCCAGCTTGTAGATGCTCCATTGCTCAACTGGTAGGTTCCTCCTTGATAATTTGCAATTCGGACAACAAGTTCCACGTGAGGAACTCGCTTGGTAAAGCCGGAGGGACAAGGACCATTGATTTCTCCATTGCGAGTATACGCCATGTGCGATTTGTGGTCATTGTCGTCACCCAAAGATGCTTCATTCCAACAGGTTGGCATGGCTGCGTTGATGTATATATATACGATGTATAGTGGAGAGGTATGGAACAGGAATATTTATAAGCGAATCAAACGATATATTGCCAACAGCAACATAAATAATCCAGCCCATTGGGTACTTACAAAAGGAAATGTCCAACCAGCCACAAGGAAAAGTCGGAAAGTGAAGTTTGTTCCACGTCTCACAGTCGTCTTTGGCATCGTCGCGCATATCGCAACATTCTGTCTGTATGTTCTGGCCACTACTTTCGCCAGGCATGCTAGCTCTGGTAGGTTCATATGATGAATGAGCAATCATTCGGAAACCAGGTGGGAATGCAACCGTTTCTGATGCAGTAGTATTGCTTGTCCTGTCCCACCGATAATTCAGGGTGGATTGCAAGTTGCTGACGCTAGTATACTGGTAGGTCTGATCGTCTCCAGTATCATCCTCAATGAGCCGATAAATGGATGGGTGCTGTAATACAAGATGAAATGGAAACAAAAATGTCAAAAGAAAGAGTCAGCGCTATTTGCTTCCTCGTAGAATAATGGCATCGTCTCATTGCATGGTACGATGACAATGTAATGTAAAACGAAAAATACTCACCCACTGAAGAGATTGATTTGCGACAAAGGGCGTCGTACTGAATCTGGCAGGAGTCTCTCGAATATCTTCATAGCTCGTATTTGGATGAAGGTGTTGTGGTCCATAAAAGGTGTGAACCTGCCTTATTGAAGGACACTGCGGCTGATCGACAATGGGGTCACTCCGAGCATGACCACTCTCGTTGGGATAATCGAGACACATTTTTACCATTCCGTTGCCTCGTCCACTGACGCTGCTTGTCAAGAGAAGAAACGAGACAACGAATGAAGCAGAAAGCTGCATGATAGATGTCGTTGTTTATTCAGAATGTATATACATATGGTGGTTTTGTTTTGATTTTATATTTCGTTGTGATGCACTCTTGAGATGATATGATCCGTGACTCGGAGCTCGCACACTGAATTTTATCCTTGCAAAATAGGAACGATGATTGAGGAATACAAAGCAATTCAGTGGAATGGATGTCGCTACGACATTGGTGATCACGTCTAAACCGCTCGGTATTTCTTGTGCACTCTGATTTGACGTGTAAATGCAATGAAGGATTGACTATTTTGTTGGAATAAGTGCTAGTGTATTGGCTTTAGTTCATCGTCTATGTTAAAATCATGCCCATTCATTAAAATAGACTTTGGAAATAGCAAAGCACTAACATTGAGCTACGGAATGCAGTCGAGTTGATGTTCCATTTTCCATCCATTGAATATTGTCTCTAAAATAATAAATATTCATAATTCATCTTTAAAACTTGTTTTTCTGATTCAAAAGTTGCATCCTTCCTAATTCCGCGGTGTGATTGATTGATTGTTGTGTATATGATCTTGCCCACTGCAACTAAAATTTCATATTCGTGTTGCAGCAGAGGCACCGTCATATGCGGTTGCTCTCTTTTCCGCATCGTTCACAGAACGTTATGCGTACAGGCTATTGACGCAAACTTCCCAGATGCTACAGTCACACTCCAACTATACTTTCATATACGCGTTGTAGCAGAGGCCCCATCACCGGTGGCACTCGTTTAAGGATCAGCATCTTTCAGGGAAGGTTTGCACATACTTGTTGAAGGCCAGTATGTTTGCCGTTTTTCACATACACAGTCAAAACAAACGACAGCTCCCACGTGGAGCTGAAGCGGACCGGAGAGATAGCTCAATGCCAGTTATGCTCTCTCTTTGGGATATCGCTTACGGGGTTCCCCCAGCCAAAGAAGTATGTGTTCTGGATTTGAGAAGCACCGCCATCTTCATGGGGTTGCTCTCTCTTTAGAACGATCAGTGTCGTTCAAGGAAAGTTTGCACATCATACTTTTGTATGTATGTGCCTTATTCCCTTCACATCATGCACAGTCAAATCAAACGACAGCTCCCACGTGGAGCTGAAGCAGGACCGGAGAGCCAGAAAATAATTCTCTCTCTTTGGGATATCGCTTACGGGGTTCCCCCAGCCAAAGAAGTATGTGTGTTGTGTATTGGGTTCAAAACGACTTACGCACTCACCTACTGCACGCCAAAACTCTCAGCCAAATACTCCAAGAGTTGGTGTCGCAGTAGTACTCTTGCATGCAAACCCCATAAGGCCTGTCTTACTGCAATCGAAGCACGGTAGCGGTCGAATGAACATTCGAGTAGCTCTCCTTTGGAGTAGCTCTCGTGACAAAATAAAGCCCCTGCTTTGATTTTGTGAGCATTTGGAGTGTGAAAAAAGTGAAATTAAAGGAAGGAGTTTAGAAACGGCCAAGACTGGATCAGCGAAAAGTTTGACCACGTTTTCGGCAGGTTTTCAATTGTTCTCTCCGTGACCGTTTGCAGCTCCTCGTAATGATAGTTGTCGACTTACCTGGAATTTCACAGCGAAATCAACCTAAGGCGGTGCTGTTCTTGGAACATTTGGTGCTGAGATTTGAAGGGACGAAGCTTTCAAAATGGGATGGACGGAAAAGAGGTTCATCATCATTGTCAAGAATTGCAATATATGTCATGGGGTTTTTATTTTATTTTCTCGCCGTTTGAAAGTTTGCTTTGGGACGACTACTGCGACTACGACCAATATTATTGTTGACTGAACAAGTCGCAAAGGAACCATCATAGTATATGTCCAACTAAATAGTTCTATTAAGACACACATCCGATATAAGGGTTGGGAATACAGTATAATACTAACCTTCAGCCGAACTACAATATCGTAGTAGCTGCCAGTTTCTCTTTCTCCACGGCCACAGGATGGACGTCACTCGTGACTCCAATGAATATAATATCATAAACCCCCGACGTTTCTATTTCCGTTCCAAGTTTCACTCCACAGAGCAAACAAACAAACAAACAACACCAAGCCAAGAAAGAAAGAGGAGCAGCTATACTATACAATAAAATTGTTTCTAGATTTTTTAAATCCAATATATTCTTTTGAATCTTTTTTTCCTTCTTTCCTTCCAACTCGTCGATTCAATTTATTCATTCATTCATTCATGTCACGTCCATCCCTCCTCACAAAAGTTAGTTAGTTGATTTTCTTTAGTACACACGAGCCATTGGTGGAACGGTCTTGCACTCATCTTCATCCAGAGTGTAGTAATGAATTGGTCGATAATTCAAAGTGGTGCGCTTTCCATCAAAGTATGCCAACGTGTGCTTCATCCAATTTTCATCGTCGCGATCGGGGCAATCTTCACGAGCATGAGCACCTCGGGATTCCTTGCGGTTTTCCGCACCAGTGATGGTGGTGGAAGCACAAGCCAACAAGTTCTTGAGTTCCAAAGTCTCGACCAAATCAGTATTCCAGACCATGGATTGATCTGCGACTTTCACATCGGAATTGAACTTGTCAACAATGGAATCGATCAAAACCTTTCCTGTCTTCAAGGTTTCGTCTTCACGGTAGACAGCCGCATGTTCTTGCATGGCCACTTGCATTTCACTACGAATTTCTGCAGTAGATGTGCTGCCAGAAGAATATCTGAGAGCATCCAAATCACTCAAGGATTCCATACCTTCATCTTCTGGCATGGGAGCAATGGCTTCTCCTGGAGTATGATCTTCGGCAATCTTGAGAGCACAGGCTCTTCCAAAGACGACAATGTCCAGCAACGAGTTGGCGCCTAGACGATTGGCCCCATGGACCGAAGCCGATGCGACTTCACCAGCGGCATACAAGCCAGGAACGACTTCGTCCTTGATGTGTTCACCAGTTTTTGGGTCAACAGTTGTGTTGAGGACTTGTCCATAATGGTTGGTTGGAACACCTCCCATGTTGTAATGAACAGTTGGCAATACTGGAATGGGTTCCTTTGTGACATCGACACCGGCAAAAATGGCAGCCGTCTCTGAAATTCCAGGAAGACGTTCGGCCAAAAGATCAGCAGGCAAGTGATCCAAGTGCAAGTAGATCTGTATTGTATAAGAATGGAAAAGAACGGTTAGTCCACATTGATGACTTCATATTCACATTCACCGCCCAAACAATAAACAAATTATTCCAACAAGCAAACAAGCAAACAAAATATTTTTACTCACGTGATCCTTCTTGGGTCCGACTCCACGTCCGTCGCGAATCTCCATGGTCATGGCTCTGGAGACGACATCTCTCGAAGCCAAATCCTTGGCGGATGGAGCATAACGTTCCATGAATCGTTCTCCTTCACTGTTTCGCAAGATACCACCTTCCCCACGGCATCCTTCAGTAATGAGACATCCGGCACCATAGATTCCAGTGGGATGGAATTGTACAAATTCATTGTCTTGATTGGCAAATCCCTTGCGAAGTGCCATGGCATTACCATCACCAGTACAGGTGTGTGCCGAAGTACAAGAAAAGTAGGTACGTCCATATCCACCAGTGGCCAAGACAGTATTCTTGGCCCGAATGCGGTGTAGGGTTCCATCTTCCATGTTGAGGCAAATGGCTCCCACGCATTCCTTGCCATCATCGGACATGAGTAGATCGAGAGCGAAATATTCAATAAAGTAGGTAGTATCAAAGGCAAGAGACCGTCCATACAAGGTGTGCAACATGGCGTGTCCGGTACGATCGGCCGCCGCGGCACATCGATGGGCCTGTCCTCCCTTTCCAAATTCAAGGGACTGTCCACCAAAGGCACGTTGGTAAATCTTGCCTTCTTCGGTTCTGGAAAAGGGCATTCCAAAGGACTCTAGTTCGAGGACGGCCTGGGGAGCCTCTCTACACATGTAATGAATGGCATCTTGATCACCCAACCAATCGGATCCCTTGACGGTATCGTACATGTGCCATCTCCAATCATCCTTGGACATGTTTCCTATTGGAATTGAAGAGTGGGAAGAAGTGTGTGTGTGTGTGTGTGTGTGTGTGAAGAGAGCAGTAAGAGTATGGTTAGCCAAAAGATTGAAATCGGAAATGCAAATGGAAATGGAAAAAGAGAATCCAAGAATGAATGAATCATTCCCAAAGCGAACCATGCATGAAATCAATCATCTTGCATGATACCGGTATGTCATCAATCTGCAATCAAATACATTATTTTAGTACTCACCCAATGCAGCATTGATACCTCCTTGAGCAGCAACAGTGTGAGAACGAGTAGGGAACAGCTTGGTGACACAGGCGGTCTTGAAACCAGCTTCGGACAATCCCATGGCCGCTCTCAAACCACTTCCTCCGGCACCAACCACCAGAGCATCGTATTCATGATCGACAATGGTGTAGTCCCCCTTGAGTGATTCTGTGACGGATGCCAAGGACATGGACCGAGCCGAGGTCTTTGTTGCTACAAAAGGCACCCGGCGTTGAAGACTGCGAGAAATAACTTTGGAGAACATTGTTCTGATTTATTGGTTGCTTTGTTTCTTGGTGTTTGTGTTTTGTTATTCGTTTGTTTGTCTTTGAGCGATGGACAGCTTGAAACGAAAGAGATGACAACTGCAAGAGATATTGCTTCCTTCTTTCTTTCTTTCTTTATCAATCTTATCTGCTTGCTGATGCAATACGACTTGCACAACAGCTGCTGTTCTTTGGTTAAAAATGGTGTTGTCACAACGCTTCGTTGGATCCAATCGATCGACCTGATTTTGCCTGGAAGCATTCTCTCTCTTTCTCCTTGGGCTTCGCATTTCTACACAAGATCCAGTACATGATTGCCGTTGATTGGAAAGAATCCGTGACCCACTATCAGTCCCATCGTTTCGGATTCCTTCGCCAACGATGACTCACTCACTCAAGGATACGTACCGGTACCAGGGTACTGTATTCGTTGGTTCGTTGGTCATGCATGGATGATGGAGCATGCCCTGCTTGCGCGCGAGAGTCATTCGAATCCATTTGGGCACGCAGGCTGGCCATTTCAAAATCGAACGGACAATCTTGTCACTGGTGAGATTTTGTCAACTCTTCATCATCTTTTGGTTGGGTTATTTTTTAATATTGTCGTACAGTACCGGTATACCTTCAACATATAGATATATATACAGTACTACGGTATGCACTAACTGACAGGCAGGCATCACAACCTTAGATTGCAATCATCAGCATCAGCATCAGCATCAGCATCAGCATCAGCATCAGCATCAGCATCAGCACTTCAGTTATTCAATTCAACCTTACCTTTGGGACGATAAAAAGCGATATGACATCACCTTTTACGTCATTGGATGTGAACATCAGCAAGAAGAATGAGGCGGTGATGAATGCATCATCAGTACCACTATCATCTACCGAGCCGACATCAGTACCTATCAGCAAATCGGATGGGATTGAGAATACTGTTCACAACCAAAACATCAGCAGCAACAATAGCAACAACAACAACAACAACAGCAACAACAATGGCAAATCATCATCCCACCTGTCATTGTCATCGTTCAGTAGCAAATCACCTCTTCCGCCAACAACAGGAAGGATACACACAAAGACAACTACGCAGACGAACAGCATTGACAATAATGCTAATACTGCAGCTGATGAAGTCAACAAACTATCCGTTTCTTTTGCGGTAGAAACGACGACACTTTCTTTCATGCTATCTGATGATGAAATTGATGATGACAACGAAGATGAGCAAGACGAATCATCACCACATGCAACCATGACTACTACTACTACTACTACTACTATTACGACTACTAATTCACGTCGTCTCAGCGGCAGCAGCATTTTGGATGCGAATACTACCACTGACGACGACGATGATGATGATGATGACTTTGGCAAATTGTATCGTCGACCCAGGCGTCAGAGACGATCCGTAGGCTATTACAAGTGGTTGGCGACCAATTCGCCCAATGAATACGTCGATATGAATGGAAATCCAAGGACTACCACTTTGAGTGGCAATAGCTCTCATTTGGACGATAGTATAGATACCAAATCATCATCCTCTGAATACGATGAAGAGGAATCCGAATATGTCTTTGATCATGATGAAGATTTAGATGACGATGATGTAGAAGAAAGAGAAGAAGCAACGAGTGTTATTGTGAATGGTGAAGATAAGACAATGGTGGAGCAGCCAGCTAGTGAGAATGATCCATCCAGTGCTACCAATGAAGCATCACCAAGTATGCCCGCATCTCCGACAGTTGATGCAATGCCCCTACTGTCATCTAGTACATCCGAACAAGTGGCATCGCCGTCTAGCACTGGAATTCTGTCTGAACAAGTTGCAAAGAATCAAATCGTTTTGGCGACCCCACAGAGAAGATCTCCAAGAAAGAGACAGTCCATCATGCCGTCCTTGTCAGAACAAGGTCAAGTGCAAGTGCAAGTGAAAACATATGCAGATGCAGTCAAGAAAACAGCTCCAACTGCTGTACAATCACCGGTACCATCTTCCCCAGCAAGAATCATCCTATCGGAACCAATTGGACACAACATCCAAAGAGTGGTCATGACTACTCCAATTCGACGATCGCCTAGAAAGAGACGACCCATTCAACGAGATGAGACAAAGATGGCAATTGACCTTTTGCCTTCCATTGCGGAACCACCGCAACCGTCAAGGATGGACGAATCATGCAACGACACGAACAGGAAAGATACTTCCACAAGAAGAGCTACTGTCGCAACACAGGATGACCAACCAGAATCAACGACGGCAGGAACTCCCAAGAAGCAAGATTTAACAAGAGAAGCTTCGTCCACCAATGGAATTCTGTCACAGCCAGGTGGAAGCGTTCACAGAGTCATTGTTACCACTCCAATTCGAAGATCTCCAAGAAAGAGACGTTCCATTCAAGGAGATGAGTCGTTCTCTGCAATGCCTTCCATTGCGGAACTAGCCCCGGCATCGCCAATTTCTGCAAAGAACCAACAACCAAGTCTGTCATCGTCCACTGAAGCAACTATTAATACCAATTCGGAAGGAAACATCGAAAGGCCGTCGTTTTCCAACGAAATCCTGTCCGAGCAACTTGGAAACCTGCAGAGAGTCATTACTACACCGCTTCGAAGGTCTCCAAGGAAGCGACAGTCCATGCAAGGAAATGAAACGATGGACTTCATGTCATCCATTGCCGAAGCAGCGCTATCGCCAATCGCAAAGATCTCTTCGCCAGCACAAGCCGTTCCGAATGCCAAAGGACAAACGTCCAAGGTCACTAAGGAAATGTCGTCAGTGACAAAGACATTGTCAAATGCTACGATCCAATCACCAGTAGACGCGGAAATGAATACTCCAGTGACTCAGTCACCATTCTCATCAACGTCCCAAGCAAATAGTTCTGCCAAGAAGCATCGAATCGTCACCACACCAACCCGAAGTTCTCCTCGCAAGAAACGAGCTGTGGAAGCAGGCGAAACCGAATGCGTCATGTCTCCGTTTGCTACAGCAGAATTGTCTCCGATCAAAAGAGAATCAACTTCGCCTACTGTGGCTACTTTTCAATCTCCCAAGGCTCCTTTCCTTTCACCACAGCAATTGCCGCCAACAAGTCAGAGTATTCAAGTCCAAGATTCGGCTGAATGCGAATCAGCATCCACCTCACTGCTTTCTCAATTCACAAAGTTACCACCACCGCCGGAAACTGATACTTCTGTCACCATGGATGTTGATGAGACCATCAAGGTGATGAATGAAAGCGACTCCTCTTCTACCGAACAGGTGGAATGCACTACACGACTAGATCAAGCACTGGACCATGGCCAAGACAGTGTTGAAAAAGAAGAAAAATCCGAAGAAGATGATGATGGAAATGCAAGCGCAAGCAAGTCATTTGTACTCGAATACAGTCTCGAACATGATGATGTCCCAATCGATTCTGGTTCAGTACATGTTGATGAATCATCGACCTCTCCAGTATTGGCATTGGTACAATCCAAATGCTTCAAGGTTCGAATCGTCTACGATGAATCGCCACCTCCACTACCAAAAAGTATTCTCCGAAGAAAGTTGAGATATACCAAAGCGTATGGCAATGAAGAAGTGGAGATGGATAAGAAGCAAGACGATAAGGTGGAACATGAAGAGGTTGATGAATCGGACAACACTTCTTCGTATGGAATCACTCTGCCAGAACTGAGGCATCGCATGGCAATCCTTTTTCCAACGGACTACTCTGAACTGATCCAATCGGTAGGTCCTTATTGTGCTTGCTAAGATTCGATTGCAATTTAATTTTGCTGATCCTCTTCTTTTCTTACTTAAATTCCAAACCACCCGCAGTCTTGTGATTCAGCCCGTTTGATAGCATGCTTCACCTTATACAAAGACGCCTTGTTTGTTGAGAATGAATCAATAACGCATCCTCAGCAACAGCCAGCAAAGACTGCTGCTCGTGCAAGAACCCGACGACGAAGACTATCTTTGGAATGCAAAACTCCGGGAATCAATTACCTGCAACCGATCATGATATTGCTAAACGAACTTGTGCAGCTTGAATTGGTTCAGTACCAGTCCATGTCCATGGCAAAAGAAACAAGTGATGCAGCGTCCAACAGCAGCAGCAGTCTGTCAGATGATAAGGAAGGGTCGCACCGAGTCCATTTTCCAGCGTTCGACGGTTCTGCCTTACAACCTCCCAGCGACGTCATTGTAGGATCCGATCGAGTGCGTGAGGAAAGTATCGAACAATTGACCAAGGTTGTGATGTCATCACAGTCTCTGTTTGGTAGCTTGATAGACGCAGAAGACCCACCATCTGAATCTTCAGCAACAAAGTTTGATGTCGGTCGCATGGCCATTACTGTCCTGCAGAGCTTGGTACATTATCTTCAAACTGACTTTGTCACTCATGGCCATGCGGTTCCCTGTTCATGGTCCTTCCCCTTGCAATCCCATACAGTTTCCCGAGTCGAGAAGGCTGCCCAGTCATATGCTCACGATTTGTCTCATGTTTTGAGAAATTCACGAACGGAAGAGACTCCAACATGCCTCACGTTCCCAAATCCGTCGCACGATGTATCTATTGCTTACCGAATGTCCCAATCCAGAGGTTGTGGCCCATGGGAATGCAGGCTGGCTGACACTGCGGGACAGCAGATACGATACTGGCTTCGAACGTTATTGAATCCCATTCCCGATCGTGCTCCACCAAAAAGTGCGAGCAATTGCGCCAAGGCCAAGCAATGGAGACGCCGAATCTGTGATATTGTCGCTCTGTGTGTTGAAGATGCTGAACAATCCATGGCCGTGGAAGATGGATCCATGAGTTCGCTTGTCAGTGATGCTCTAAGCTTTTTGCATGCCCTCTTTGGAGCGTCATCATGGGAAGATTTCATTGCAGAAGGTGATGATGGTTTGGGAGTTCCAGATGGTACCAATACAATAAGAGGCGACGTCTTCTTTTCGTCCACAATCTCTCTGCGACAGAATTTCATCCAAGAACACCAATGGAATGACTTGGAGGATGAATTGATTGCAGCCACTGAGTTCTTGGCAGCCATGAACGGTGTTCGCTTCCTTTACGAGCTCTTTTCCATTCTTGTGAAGGAACCAAAGTACTACAAGGTATGGAAGAAGACCATTCAAGAGCTTGCTGGAACCTTGGCATTGGTGGACCAAGCATGCATTCAAGAAGAAGATGTTCAGTTGCTATTGTTACGAACTCCACTGGAGGAGATCTTGATAGTTTTGGAAAAGATCTCGCAGCAACATTCTACCAAATACACCCAATGTCAGAAGCAGCTGAAGGAATTTTCCAAGCGCTTTGCCTTTGGCAAAAAGTCGAAACGGAAAAAGAGGCACCAACCCGACTTGAGTTATCTGGAGACTGCCTACGAAGAAACCATGGAAAAGATTAACTTTCCCAGAGCGATGAGACTATAATAATAGTATTCATGTATGTTGTTTCAGTAAATCCTATCATTTATTCTATTTCATTTTGTATTTTAATATTTACTATCGGTATTATTAGAGCATTCATTCTGCGCCTTGATACCTGCTTCCGAAAAATAAATTAAAATAAGTGATGTGGGTTCTCTGGTTCGACCACTTCGACAAAGAGTGATGGCATCTTTCTTCAAATCGTCTACATCATCATCGTAGAAAGAGGAGGAACGACAGCTCAAAGGACGAAGATCGATTGAAGATGATCATCTAATACAGTAGGTACAGTAGGTACAGTAGGTAAGGATCAATGATTGATTTAGCATCTATTCATGTAGTCCTCCGATTCCCTCCAGTTGCCTTTTTTCTTTTCTCCATTGTATTTTTTCGAAAAGTTTGAACAAAGCGGGTGCAACTCCATCCCAATATTATGCAACAACAACAACAACAACAACAGGAGCAGCGTAGGCAGCTAATACAAGTAAAGTAGTAGTTTTCGATAGTGAAATAAGTATCTATACAAGTATAATGGTCTTAAGACTCTATCTGTGTAGCATTGCGACAAACAGTTGAAAGTTGATTCCAATTGAAGAATTTCGCCTGAATTCAAAATGGTGTTGTTTTGTTTTTTTGGTATTTCTTGTTCAGAAGTCTATTTTGTGTTAAGAGTATTGACAGACAAAGGAGAAACTGTTTACTTCTTGACTCCAGTGTAGTCAATTTCTCCAAAGAAGTCGTCTTCCTCGTCGGCTTCTCCGAACTGTTGAAGCCACAAAGCAAGGATGCCCCAGTGAACAACGAAAAGAACTCCCAACAGACGAAGATCATCAACTCCGAACCATTCTCCGGTTCCTTCAGTGGCGACAGCAGCGGTCGACATGAGAGAAGCAGGGACGAATCCAGCAAGAGTGGCAAGAGCACCCTTCTTGAATTCAGGGCTTTGCATGGCCATGGAAAGAGGAGCCACGGCTTGCTTGGCCAAGTTTTGGCTCACGGGGGCGAACGCAGAAGCGCTGGCGAAAAGGGCAAGGAGGGCGAAAACAGTCTTCATCATGGTGTCTTGTAAATTATTTTTTAAAAGTTGGAATAGTCTTTCAAAGGAATGTGTGTTTGAGGGGGCTTGGCTTGAATTCAATCGTCAATCGCAATCCATTCGATTCCACAGATGCCCGTTCTTTTCGTGCGTACATCTCTCGTAGCTTTGGTACTTACGTCCGTCATGATATGATTTCAACGATGCCCCTCGCGATCTTCTTGTTCAAGAAAGGAATTTGCTTCTGCAACGACCGTAAGTCCATCCGTATCCTTCCTCAACACCACGTAGATTCTGTACGTAGAATGTGGTTGGAAAATAAAATGACGACACGTAACATTCCAGATTCCACTATTTTTGCAGAACTGCTGACGTATGTCTTTTGACGACGTGACGGACAGGGATGGACGACTCACTGCAAAGGTCTAAAAGATACCTTATACTGTACATTGCCGTGCTGTGCTGTACTGTACCGACAGGAGCCACACTTCTCTTGTTAGTGCAATAATGTATGTCAAGTCTAACAAACAGTATTTCTATATCATATCATTTATGATATCGCATTTATCGAATTTATCGGCTCTCAAGGATCGCAATGCATTCTGGAACAGACTTTTTGGCCTTGAATGCTTCCACCAGTTCATCGTACTTGCTACGGTTCTCATTGATCAAGTTGTAACTAGCCAAAGCACCCCATCGAGTCAAGTCTTGTTGTTTTTGTGCTCCAATAAAGTTTTCACTTCGGCGAAAGAAGGAATCCAATTGAATCAAATCATTGTCTCCTCCCTTGGCATTACCCAAAGCCAATACTTCTGCGACTGATCCACTCATAGAGACGCACGAGAGTGCGGCAATTTCAGATTCCGAGAATTCACGTCCAGTGACGGGTCCTTCTTGGGACGGATGGAATTCGACGCATTGGACTCCATTTTCTCCAGTGGCATATCCAGCAATGGGTAGACCAGAGAGGTACCCGCAAAGGAAATGACCAGCTTCGTGGCGGCAGATGCGATCCAATTGTTCTTCGGCACTGTCGGAAGTTCCTCTGGTCGCTTGAATGGCGCCGGCAATCAATCCAGGTGCAGTGGATCCAACACCAAGGAATAGGATGGGAATCAATGCCATGAAGTAACAAACGGTAGCTCCAACGTTCTCTGGCAAAAAGCTCAGGGCCAAGACTCCCAATACACTTGCCCCCAACGTTACTCCGAGGGTGGCATATTTGAAATCGTCCAAGCTGACATCGAGCTCGCCACCAAATCCTAGATTCTCGGCTGTTAGTTTCCCACCCGTACGGCTTTCCAAATTTTGCAGAGAGACTGGGAACGGACGAAGGGCGACGGACGTGGCAGCATTGGCAGAGTTCCATAATTTCAAATCACCAGATTCGACCAAGGCATCCAAGGCGGTGGTTTGACGTTTGGCAACATTGTTGTTGTTGTTGTTGTTGTTGTTATTATTATTATCGTCATCGCCAGAAGAACCTTCTTGTTCGAATGGAATTCCTTGGACGGATTTCAAAAGATCATCGACCGAAGCAGTTTCCTTCACTTGGGTCATTGTGGCAGTGGCAGTCATGGACTCGTCATCTTTTCCAAGTTCCTATTTATATATATAATGATACATGATATGTGAGATGTGATGATTGTGTGAGAGGGTTGGGGTTAGGGATGGCATAGTCGTGGTGTGGACAATGTAGTACTGCTACTAATACTAATAATAACAGGTATTGTTCTTTGACAGACAAGAAACCATCACATGCCGTTGACAAAATGACAACTTTGTGTCATTTTTTGTCACGGTTTGTCATTATTTCCATACTAAAACCTACCTTGGAAAGTCTGGCAGCATCTTCTCGTGCCTTGGCAGCTTGAGCACGGAGCTTATCCACTTCGGATTGTTGTTGTTGTGGTTGTGGTTGTTGTTGTTGTTGTTGTTGTTGTTGTTGTTGTTGTTGACCATCTTCTGCCATTTTCAAGGACGACGAAGACGAGGATGGAATGATGTTATTGGATCGATGGTGGATGACCGAACGAAGAGATGACGATTGAGAAGAAGCCGGAGATTGAAAGGCAGTGGCACAGCAGGTTGCTGTGGCAAGGAGAATGAGGGCGCTGCTTGTGAACTTCATGTTGTCTGTATTTTGTATTTTGCGTGTTGTAGGTATTATGACTTTCGATTTGCTTGCTTTCGGCTAACTGCTGACTGCTCTGACACTTTACGGTCACGTTGTTGCCGGAATGATGATTCGAATGATGTGTTGGTATGGGAAGAGGTGGTATCTTAAGTGTGATACGTCACTCATCGACTCGAATGAGTCGAGTCGTCAATTCGAGAACTAAGCAAGGCGCAGTAGAGATAAGAAGAGTACCAGGTACAGTATAGTGATGCTGAACTCCACTGTATTTCTAGTATGTGCATGCTGAATGAAATGTGATAGTGTCATTGCTTGATCTACTCTACCGTACTACATGATACAATGTTGGTTGCGCCGCATATTCCTATGCTTTCAGTATTCATTGCTTTGACTTTTTGCTCGTGGCCTATTCTTGCTCACGTCACAAATGACACCAATGGCACTGGCAGTCGTGCTATACTGTACAAGAAGAAGAACCCGGCTAGCTAGTACAGTACTGTAGCTAGGAACTGATGGTGTTGTGGTACAGTACTTGGGAGATATTGACAATAAATTTACAGTCCTCGCCTCGCTTGATTATGCACATTCTTGTATCCGGTTCATTCATATATTATTCTCCCCGGGCAGCATGCGAGCACTAAGGTGGTTTTAGTTTTGGGTGTACTTTTACCAAAAACCCCCACCACCTGGACCACCTGGAAATGGCTCAGCACCAAAATGTTGTCCTTGTCCTTGCATTTGCATAGGATCCATGCCCCATTGTTGTTGTTGTTGTTGTGGCTGTTGTTGTCCAAAGCCTGCTCCTCCTGGTGGTGGACCGCCGTAACCATATCCTTCACGTCCCCAACGTTCGCCACCAGGGCCCATTCCCATTTGTTGGAATCCCCATTCTCCACCACGTGGCGGCATGTTCATACCCATACCCATACCCATGGTGCCGCCATTCATTCCAGGTTCCATCATACCATTCATTCCAGGTTCCATCATACCATTCATTCCGCCACCATTATAGGGCATGGGATATTCTTGTTGACCATATCCACCAGCACCACGGCCACCCATCATGCCTCCTGGTGGTGGCATCATTTCATTCATGAGAGAAGGAAAGTCATTCTCTCGCATGCCATAGCCACCGCCACCACCACCATCACCATATCTACCACGAGCCCCTTGACCATATGGACGATCCATGCGACGGTCGCCAAAGTCACCACCATTCATGCCACCACCACCATGATTATTATTATTATTACTATTGTAATAATTTTGAGCATTGGATTGAAAGGGCGGAATGCCTCCAATTCCATTGGTTCGCATATCTTGCATCGAAGGCATCGCTTCGTGATCAATGACATCATTGCCCTGTGGAAAGCCATTAATGTCAGACCAATAGACATTCTGAGTACCGTAATCGGAATAGTCAGAAGAAGAAGACGACGACGACGATGCTGCCGAAGCAAACGACGACGATGACGATGACGACGACGGTGAGGACCGAAACAACGGAGGAGAGCTCAACGAACGAGCCGATTTATGATGCGGAACGCCCGCATCATGATAATAAGGTTTTGGCACTGTTCGGAATCTGTTTCCCAGCGACATTGGACGATCGTTGCTGTTATAATTGCCATGACTAGCGCCTTGACTGTCCATGTGATCCAGGTTGGGATTGTGAAAGTGAAGCGACGTCAAAGAGTCGGACTTTGCTTTGTTGCTTGTGCCAATGCTTGTGCTTGTGCTAATGCTAATGCTTGTGCTTGTGCTTGTGCTTGTGCTAGGAGAAAGCAAAGCTGAAGCCAGTGTTGGCATCAAAAGGCTCAGAATGGCACATCTTGTGACGACTGTGATGACATTCATGTTCATGTTCATGTTCATGTTCATGTTGTTCATGTTCATGTTGTTCTTCTTTTGTTTACTTGACAACATTGCGATAGTACAATCAATGGTGACAGTACAGTACTACTTACTGTACTCTGTACTCTGTATTTGTATTTGTATAGATCAGAAGAAGAGTTTTCTTGTCAAACGCACAATCTTCCAAAGAGAAGGAATTTTGCATCAAGCTGTTATCTTCAGCTTGCGCCCGCCAACTGAAAAAGATGAAAAAACATCACACAGATGTGCGTGCATGCAGGCGCATCAGACAGGTGACAGAGGTGATGGATGCACGATGAGACGTTCGACGTGGCATGAAGAACAGTTCGGATGGACCAATGAGAACTGACCGCCAAAACAAAGAAACTAGTTCTGGACGTTCCGATGGACGCGACCTCAATTGCGATATATACACTTTCAAGACTGAAGACAAATCAAATGTTCATGGTCGCCACTGCGAGTTTTTTATCGCCAATCGAGAGAAAACACGAATACCCCCCCACACTCTCTCACACGATAACAATCTCCATCAAAATCACATACTTCCAAACCACAATCATGACAATGAAACCAGAAAATGATCCAACTGGACCCATTGATATGGATACCTGTGAGCCATGGGAGGAAACAAACGAAAACGAAGAAGAGCAAAAACACTTAAAGGGTGATAATCATCATGAGGAGGAGGACGAACCAAAACACCAACAACAACAACAACAAGTAATCAAGAAGAAAGAATACACCAAGACATCATCCCGGCCGTTTGGATCTGCTTTCAAACATTTGATCAAGACCAAGCGATTATCTATATTATTAAAGCGTATCACAAAGCATCATGTCGATCATGGAAACACCACGGACAGTGACATGTCCATGTCATCGGGACCAACTACGTTTGATCATGCTGAAGATCCTACTACTATGATTGAGAATAATGAACCACCCGTTTTCCATTACAAGGAAGGCATCAAGTCGCCCTTGTTGAAGAATGTGGACACAAGTCTATACGACAATAGACTGCTTTCTCCTTCCATTGTGGTCGATCAACAACAACAACAACAACAACAACAACATCATCATCAACTAGGTATCAATAACAAGCAGCGTCAGCACCAGCAGCCATCATTCCGCCATTACCTGCCCATGGATGGCATGGTCGTAGCACTCTAAAAGGTGCATAGATACGCTCTGATACGGTAGATGCACTATTCATAGCATCAAATGACTTCTCTCCCAAGAGCTGGGAGGCAGACTGGTCTATTTTTAACTTTTTTAGCAATGCAGCAATACGATGATTGTACAATACTATAGTACACGTGTACAGGGTACAGGCATACAAGGCCAGTGCACACATCAGCACATTATTCAAATAGTCAATAATCCTGAAACATGGAACCAGCATGATATCTCAGAGACAATGTCACCGTGTCAATGTGGGCGGTAAGAAGCTCAAGGAAGGTATGCCAATCTTGGCGTTCATTTCAAAAATATACTGTATTCTATTATTATATTGTACAAAAGTTATTTACACATACCGGTATCACTCGATTTCGCCAAGATAATCGAATGGAATCGAATCGAATCGAACACTCACTTCAGGCGTTCAAGCGCCCGACTTCAGGAAAGGGTTTCCTGCATCTTCTTCTTCTTCTTCTTCAAAAAAAAGTCCTGCCAAAACCTAGTGGTTCGAGGCACCAACGATAGAAGTTTCTACCGGTACGTCTTCCAGCATCTTCAACATGCATTTGTGATCCTGACAGTGCCGGATGCTGTGAAAAAACTTCATTGCTTCCTTTGACTCGGGACAATGTCGGAAGAAGGGTTGCAGGAGATGGATGATAAAGTTGTCAAAATCTCGTTCGATTCCAGTCAAATTCTTTCCTCGGCTCACCCGATCTGGCTTGTGAAACCATGACTCGGAGCACCAGTTGCACGCCTCTGCAATCTCAGAGGTACAGTTGTGGGAATAGTCAAATCCAGAATGGGTGTTGTCAAATAACATTGCCTGAGCATCCACGATAGTTCCATCCGTGTCTCGATTGACAATCAAACCAACATCTTCCATGTGGATCCCTTGCAAGGATAGACCCAATCCAGCAGTATGCGCCAGTGCTCGAGCTGCTGGCAGGACTGTCTTGACAATTCTTGGAACATCCTTGGTAATATACTGCAACGTCTTTTCGTCAAGTGTATCAAAGACAGTCGCGATGCTGTCGCCAGAATTTAACGGAGTGAATTTGGTGAGCGGCAAAACGATTCCAATTACTTCCGGATCGGGGTGCGGTCGGCCAATCCATTCACTGTGATTGGAATGCGATGGCAATCCACCCTTTTTGTAAACGACACCCCAAACTGGAAGAATCCCATCGGTTGGAACTCCCATGCGACGGCGACTGGCAAAGGGAAGACCACCCATGTACTCTGAACCGAGATACGATTCTTGAATCCTATTCATTGCATTTGGTGCGATGCAACTCAACGGGTCTCCGCCTGCAATTGGGTTGCACTTGTCTGTCTTGACGACCGCTTCACAGACGTTGCTTCTATGAGAACCGTACTGGATGAGCACTTTGGCAATGGCCCCATGATGACCAAGACCGATCAAATCATAGTTTCTTCTGTTCATAATCTTTTCGACAGGAATGTTCATCATCTCTTTCCGCAAGTCCCAGCATGTCCCTTCATCATCAACGATTTTCTTGTCTTGAGAGTCGCCATTACCAAACGCTTTCCAAAGCTGTTTGTGGGTACATGTTTTGTGTTTCTTGAGTCTTGTCCTATCTGGTGCGTCTGCTGAGTAGGACGGGACAGATTTCAACTCAATCAACTGCATGCATGTCAGCCAAACAGAGACCCAGAGTAAAAGGTGTTGTGAACAGAGGATGCTTGTAGCCATGATTGATGGAATGTGATGCTAGTGTACACTGGAAACAAGTTGAAAGTGTAGACTGGAGTGAAACGAGTAATGGAAGCCGAAACGTCGTTCTTTCCGAGACGAATACTAGTCCCACTCATTTTATATGGAAAATTGGCGTTTGCATGCTTTCGGCGAACAAACGTGTGCCCAACTTTTATGTAGAAAAACCTGAAACTACGGGTAAACTATGGTTAAGAAGACTCCGTTAACCTCTAACTTATTACGATGATTGAGCGAGTTTGTTCTTGTGGCACTTAACACAGCAAATTTTCTAATTTTTTTTGGTCGACTCAACGACAATTTTGTGGTCGCGTGCAAGCCGGACAGCTAGGTCAGCGCATCCGAACCCACAATTCGGATCGAAAATGAAAATCTTCGCCACATGTCGAAGAAAACCTTCTCTACTTCAAACGCCACAACCGGCTGCATTCAACAGCAGAAGATGAAAGGCATTAGCGAGCCTCCTCCATTTTGCAGCTGCTCTGATCTGCAAAGACGATGGCTTCCAAATAGCGAAGCAAAGAGGACTTCCTCGTCCCGCAAGCAAAAGGGAAGACAGACAAGAGTAGCTTGCTACAACGGGTCAAGAGCGGACCAAAAGATTCCACCCCTGAAAAGTCATGCTGGTTTAGCCTCTTGACTAATGCCTTCTTGCCTCCATCCCTTTTGACAAAACCAATATCCCACGCAAAAAAACGGAGCGGGGACAAGCTGCAACATCTCATTGAAAAAAATGGGATGGCTTCAAAGGCGTTGTGAGCACTACAGCGAAATGCAATATCTTGATAGTGGTGGGTCGGTACCCTTCTGCCTTTGGTTGCAAGAAGAAGAAGACGAAGTTCCGAGAAACAACCACGTCGCATCTAGAATCCATGGGTCTATAGCCATGGCGGATCGCTTGTGCCAATCTGGGATCCCGATTTGAATGAAGTAGCGTGTTGCAAGGGTAAATTGGATGGATAATTCTTTCAGGAAATCCTTTTGCAACCATAACCCTAACCCTAACCCAACCCTCTTTTGTCTTTCTGGTCCTCGCAAACCATTTCACCACCAACAACAATAACCTGCCATTCAATGTCGCTACATGGATACCGAAGGTACGGACAAAGCGCTTAAATAGATGCGCTAGCAGTCCAAACGAAACCTTTCCATGAGCTTAAAAATAGACTCTTTTAGCAATATGATTGTACAATAGACAACAATTTCGCTCATCATTTCATTTTTTAAAATGTCCGGAGTATTGATTTCAAAAATAGACTTTCCAATGGAACAGATGGGGGCGCCGCATCGATGATGCATAGAAACGTCCACAATAGTATTCTAGAGACGATTGGAAAGCATTCAACCAATTCTGGACGCTGATGTCAAATTCTGTCAATGGGTGAAAACTTCAAGAAGGGTGCAATTTTTGTGTTCCAGTCACAAACATATTATTTTGTAGAAAACTTACACCATTCAATCCGTCATGATACAATCGAATACTCTCGCACGGCGTTGGGCTCCAGGAAGCGGTCACATACAAGTACCATGGTCAACTAGGACGGAATCTTGAAATCCAATATGGTTCCAAGTAATCAAAGTACCTCTATTCAAGATGATGGAAATTACTAAATCCGGATGCCTAGTGCCATTTGTCAAGTGTCAGAAAATTCTTTTGGAAGCGAACCATGCACATGCGCACGCAAGTATCGCCCTAATGGAAGCAGATTGCGACGATCGCTTTGGAAGCAATAACCTACCACAGAACATTAATCACAACTCGTCAGCTTCCTGAATAACAAACACAGAGTCATGATTCCGCGTCCGCGTCCCTACGACAGCATTGAATGTGCTCCAACTGGTAGATCCACCTGCCGGATCTGCAAGAAAAAGATCGCCAAAGGTGCTGCAAGAGCTGGGATTCACTCGCTGCACAAAAGAATCTACTGGAACCGCTACTTTTATCACAAAGAATGCGTAAAGACCACCTCGGTAGGAATAAGTCTATGGAAACAAGCCAAGCTTCCACCAAATTTGTTGCTCAGGCAAAAAGGAGGGCACGATTTGTCTCGAATGAGTCTGTTGGATTTGGGCGAAGCAAAAATCGAGAAACAGAAGAGAGTTTCAGACTCAACCATACGAGAACGATCAGATCTGAGAGAGAAGCTTCGAAGACTTAGATTTGGGATTGCTCAGCGGCTGAACTATGAGCCGTATATGGTTTTTCCAAATAGCACGTTGGACGCCCTCGTGTTGCACTTGCCATCGAATCGAGAAGAACTGCTCAAGATCAGTGGATTTGCTGCCAAGAGAACGGAGACTCTTGGGCCATTCGTCTTGCCCATTATTCGTGACTACAAGAAGAAATTGACGACTACCGACAGCAGCAGCAATAGCGACAAGGCCCGCGCAGCAGTTCCGTGTTTAGAGGAGGAGGAAGAGGAGGTTACAGTCGAACGAGAAGTTTCCGGAGAAGAAATAATCAATCGACTATTTGAAGAAGCTTATGAAAAAGGAGTTGTAATTACACTTTAGGCGCGAAGTGTGGGAGGGGGGTTTTAACACACACGCATGCGTGACCACTTGTACTATACTATTCGTGAAACAAAGGACTGATTTTGAAAACATGAATAGAAACTAAATTTACATTTGCATCAATTATATATCCAAAGCAAAGGACAATAACAAGGAACCAAATGGTTTACCATGACTATGACTATGACCATGACCATGCGAGTCGACTCTCAATCATAATCTTCGTGGTTCCAACCCCGCGGCTTCCGATTATTACAACTGTGGAGACGGTGGCACGTCTTTCATTTTTCGTCTGTCTACAGTTTGTCTTCCACCCAACAAACCGGGCGATGCACGGGATACGAGGCCCCACAATCCAGTTGCTTCTTCTTCCGGTGCTTCGCCATCAAGTGTCATGGTGCCTTCCTCCCCCGGCTCTGTGGATTTTTTCCGAGTGTATGCAGCCTGTTTGGGCATCTTCTTTAGCATTTCGACCACTTGGTTTTGGAAGAACACGATCGTTTCTTCCTTTTGCTTCAATGCCTTTTGTTGTTCAGTTTCCATATTCTTCATCTTGGTCTCCAATTCGAAAATTTGGACACCTAGATTCTTGATTTCCTCGTCCTTTTGTTCGATGATTTCGGCGTTGCCCAATTGTTCGAGCTTTTGCTTCAGTTCTTTAATTTCAGCTTCCTGCTTTTGAATCCTATCATTTGATCGCAGAAGCAGGCCTTGCGTTTTGGCATCACCTCCCGCACTGTTGGTACTGTGCATGGAACTGTGGAGACTGTCCCTCGGCTGAGCAGCCCCCCCACCAGCTTCGAGCTTTGCCTCAAGCTCTTTGATCGTTTCATTTTTCGAATGTAAGGCTTCAGCATGTTGATCCACCTTGATGGACATGTCAGTCTTGAGCGTATTGATCTCTTGCTGCAACTCGAATATTTCGATTGGATCCGCTTCATGCTCGATCACCTTGGGGTTGTCTTCCAACTCTTTCTTTTCCTGCTCCAACTCCTCCACCCTGTCCTCCAGAAACAAAAGTTTTCGGCTCAGCTCGTCATTGCGCAACTGCTCTTCATCCAACTCTTTTTGGATTTCATTCTTGGCAATAATTAGCTCTTCCACCTTTCCTTCCGAATCATGAAGCTTTTGTTCAGTGGATCGAAGCTTGGCGTCCAAAAAGTCATTGCTGTAGTGATCTTCGTCATCTTCCTTGATCTCGCCGTTGAGTTCTCCAAGAGCAGCTGATATCCTACCAACGTTGAGGGATTCTCTCTTCTGGGGACTCGCTTCTTCTGTGTCGTCTTCCGTTTGAGTTTTCCAGATATCTGAAAAGCGCATAAGCTCCTGTTTGATGGGATGTACTGGAACAGCATCATCGGAAGTTGGTGAAACCGGTGCAGCAGGCGATTTCTTCTTAGTCCCAGGTGACCCACTCGGGGACTTGGAACGTACTGGAAGGACCGGAACCTTCTTGCCACCGGGAAGAGGTGCAAGTTCATCCAGCTGTTCATCGTCATGGTCATCCGAAGAATAAGCGTCGGCTACTTCCATCTTCTTTTTCTTTTTCTTCTTGAACGAAGTTTCAGATTTTAACGAAGCATTACTGGTTTGGCGAGTCGGACTTTCGTCCCTGTCCTTGGCCTTTTTCTTCCTACCACTTCCAACACTGCCATCAGATCTCTTGACTCTGTCTTTCTTCTTCTTGCGAGATTTACCAGATTTAGAAGACTTTGACGACTTTGAGGATTTGGTTGACTTGGCAGAAGCATCAGATCCATCAGAATCGTCTCCCGATTTACGGTACTTGATTTTCTTAATTTTCTTCTTCTTTTTGGTGGCTACAGCCGAGTCATCATCGTCGTCGTTCAAGCCAAGCTCTCCCTGCTGGCTTTCTGATAAAGGTTCCGTATACAGATCGTCGTCACTGTCCGCACCAGTATTGTCGTGGTGGGCGTGGTTGGGAGGACGAATGCTATATCCAGCCATATTTTGATCGTCTTTCTTCTTCTTTGCCCCGCCGCTACCAACAACGGTGCTATATCGCATGCTGCTTATATCTGGATCATCATCGTCATCTGATTCTTCATAAAAGTTGGCAGAATTGCTGCGCTTCAGTTCTTTGCTCTTTTCATCTGACAATCCTTCTCGGATTCCATCTCTAGCGCCCTTGATGATGTCTGTTGTGCCATCTTTGACAAGATCGGCAGCTCCTTGAGCAAAGCGAGTAGTGTGCGCAACACCTTTTGTGACCCCTTTCTTCAGCTGCCGTAACGCTGACATTTGTTTTCAATTTCAATTTCAATTTCAATTTCAATTTCAACTGGTACGACTAGATAGCGTTAGCGTAACAGGGAAGAGTCTTCCTTCTAAGAAATTACTGCTGAAGATGTCAAGTAGTATTGTTGGTATTGAAATAAAGTAATACTGTGACAGCAGATTTGGTGCTTTCAGAGTTACTGTATTGTCTCTCTAAGAATAAGATCAGATGATGATGCAATCCTACTAAAAAAGGAGAAACCAAAAAATGCATACAGGCGAGATTTTTACAGTGGATATAGGGGGAACAATTTTTTTAGCAAGTGACTTTTTGAGGATGACCGTTGATGAGAAGACTTATTCAGAACAATTTCAAATTAGCATGCATCGGATCCAAGCGGTCCATTTGATCCGCGCGAATACTTTTGCAGTGAGATATACTGTAGGTTATACACAATACCGGTATGAATATTTCAAGCACAACAAAACACTCACAGAGGGCAGAGGTGCGCGGATAGTCTTGTAGACTTGCATGTATGTCAGAGTCACACGCGTGCTACAAGTAAGAGCATCGATTCATGGCATGCCTGATGTACGACTGGAACCGCACAATCATGATAGCAGATTCGTGAGAGTGTCGCCATGATGGTGGTCGTGGCTAGTATAGTACAGCTGGGATTCCATGTTAGTAAGGCAATCCTAGTATCCAAGTCGTTAGGCTACTGACACAAGAAGACTGCCTAGCGAATTGCTTTCAATATTGAATCAATCACAAATGAGGACTCTGGAAAAACATTAACCATAATCGTTACTAGTACAGTTCTGTTGACTAGCGCCATGCAACATATACACGGAATGTACTCCTCACAAGAAGCCGGGACAAAAAAATGGACATGGACTTCACAGAACCACGACGTTCCGATTCTGTGCTCTTTATATGGTGACAATTGCTGTCTCATTCCCAGTAAATGACTGACTTGTTGTCTGTGTTGTATACCTTATATCTTCTTCTTCGAATTCTTCATTCAATTATGTGGTCGTCGAAGGAATCAACTATCCCAGATACCATGTATTGTTCCGGCCAAGCATACGATGAGTAGCCTTGGTGACAATGCTATGGCTTGTTTGGATCATTTCATCATAGGCATCATCCGCATCTTCCACTGACGGGCGAGAAGAAATGGTGTGAGTCATATATACATGTATTGGCAAGCAGTCGACAAATACAAAAAAAATCAAACACCAATGAACACGTACCGAATCCAACGTTGATGGCTTCCGCTGGTTTTCTCACCAGCAGTCGAAAGTCGCATTCGGTTAAGTCAATGGGATCAAATGGTGCACCCTTAGTAGACTCTTTCTTCATGACATCCACAGTCTCTCTCTTGACCCGTTCGTCTCTTTCATCTACTTCACCTTTGCTGGAATCCGCCTTGAAGCTTCCGATGACTTCACTCCGATCATCTTCCTCACCTGCAACAGGGGGATCCTTGAGTAAATCAGTGAGGCTTCCAAAGACGTTGGGAACAGCGGTCAGGGGATTCGAAATATTGTCAAAGGCATTGGCTGGACCATTCAAGCGCAATACTAGTTTCATGGCTTGTTCTTCATTTTCGACGTCTGTCAAATCGATGGCCGTGCTGAAAATGGGATCAACTTCTTGTGGTTCGTCGTCGTGCCGGGTTCTGTCCCCAGAGTTGGGTCGAATCCGACGACGACTGAAAGCACTCACGCTTCGTGCTCGTTCGCGGCTGCGGCCACGTGTACTTGATTCAGTCTCGGAAGCGAGATCTTCCGAAACAATACCTCCTCCTCTCCTGGTACGTTGCTGCAAGGATGGCAGTTGCAAGGCAAGTTCAACGCCCAACCCTTCGGTATAGTGAGTAGTAGGTGGGTCGAAGCGACCGGGCACTCCCGATTGTTGCCGAAGTGATCGTGATTGCGGATAAAAGGCACTGTTGTCCATGGAAATGGGTGAAATGTTTCCAATCTGTGCATCATAATCGGAAGGAACAACAACTTCCATAATTTCCATTCCCTTCGTGCCGGGAGCTTCCTGTTGGCGTCGAAAGATTTGCTCTGCAGTATAGTGTTCAGGGTGATTGGGATTTGGGAGGACAGGAAGTCGGTGCAACGGAGAATCGACCGATTCCGGAGCAGTTCTTGGTGACAAGACATCGCTTGGTTTGCCTGCCGTCTGGTGCCTCGTCTTGCCGGTTGGAAGTTGCATGGCGGCGTCTTTGAGAGATACCTCGTCAGCATTTGGACTGAGATTCTTTTGCTGTTGCTTCTTTTTCTCCCAGAATGCCTTTAACTTTTTTGCGGCATTCTTCTTTTTCTTCCTTTTACTCAATCCGTCTCCTTGATCCATCGTTTGTTTTGTGACACCAGGTGGATCATGCTGTGTCGCTCGAATGGCCTTTTTCAAAGCCTTGATTCCTGCCATGGTTCGAGAGGAGGAGGAGGTATGCTTAGGGTTGATTTTTCTTTTGACTTTCTTTGATGGCCCTGTGATTGATGGATTGAAGTGTCAACTGATCCAAAGTTGATTTTTCCAACATTTGGTGGCCAAAAATTGTGAGCCAAGGTGCACCTCGTTGTTGGATCAGGAGGGTCGTTTGTGACACGTGAATGAAGTACCATTCGTGTTTGAATGAGGGTCGAGGGAGAGATAATAAAGGGGATGCAAAAGGAAGCACCGGTCTTCGAGACACTTGTCGGCGGTCATAGACAGTTCCACGATCCCACACACATAATCGAAATAGTACGCCCAATGGATCATCGAAGCTACAGTATGGTCGCGATTCAAAATCATCCATACCGCACGGTAGCAGATAAATAAAAATAAATCGTTGTCAATAGAAATAACATAAAACAGGCAGCAATATCACGTTTACTGCACTTCCATTCATTGCTGCAGCAACATCGTAGGCAGAATATCTCTTGTCCAACCAAACAAAAGAAAGAGCTCATTGAAAAGGCTTATAAAAGGCACTGAAAACCCCCGATCGATCGATCGATCTGTCACTGCTCATTTGTATTGGAGAATCAATCAATCAATCAATCAATCAATCAATCAATCATCACTTAAGTCTTCCGCCACCCAATGTTTTCACGCTGCCTAAAAACGTCCAATACTCTTCGCAGACAACTCTTTTCCACCTTTGGATCAGCGGCCTTATTTTCTCTGGCGCTTGTGGTGATTGCGGCAGGGTTGTCCATCTATAGTGCTGGAGAGATTGTGAAGGAACACTCGTCTAATTTGATGACAAATCATGTCGTGGACGCTTTAAAAACGTCCTCGAGACTCATGGCAGAAAAGCTGACGGCAAGATTGTCTGAGGTGGACAGTAGCGTTCAACTTATGGTGGAAAGTGTCCAAGATCGAATTGTGGGATATCCAACTCTGGAAGGCTGGGATGAATGCAAGTACGTGCCGTTTGTTGATTCGGAAACAGGGAATCGCAAGTATCCACTGGCCATGCCACCAGTGCCAATGGATTGGAATATTTCATATACAAATATGCTGACCAGCAGTGATGGTGAAAGTGGTGAAGCATACGAAGCACACGACAGCCAGTACAATCGAACGCGAAACCAATTGGGAAATCGATTGCCGTACTACAGGGTTACTTCGGAAAGGATTGAGCTGTCAGTGGATGTTGCATCTTATCACTTTTTGGGCTCGTGTGATCGTAATGCGGATCCAACTTCTTTGGATTGGGTTCAAGGATGCGTGGAATGGCAAACTGAAAATGATAATAACCAAACAATAGGAGGCACCCACTACCCTCCTCCGACTCATTCTGGATTGTATCAAAGCACTGGAGACCTGTCGGTCTTCATGAAGCCGCTCTTTGAGAGTCGATTGGATGCGCTCCGAATCAATGTCTACCTTGTCAACAGTGGAGCCGGTGCCACCCTCTCATATCCAGCGAGTCGAGTAACGCCAATGTCAAACTTTAAGCAAAAACAGATTGGAGAGGACGGATTATTCTACATTAGCAACGGTTGTGAGTGGATGAGGGATATCAATAGTCGAACGGGGAAGCCCTACGGATCAACCGAATTTTGTCACCCAAAGGGGGCCAAGGTGCCATACACTGAATACAATCCTATGGAAGAGGAATGGGCCCCCTATTTCTTGGAGCAAACCGACAAGGTCGGATATTTCTCGCCTCCATGTAGTGACGATGATGACAACCACGACTCCAAGATTCACCAACACCAGCTGTTGAAGGCAGGAAAGGCAATCATGGACCGATTGTAAGTATTCTAGTATTGCGGCATGCTGTTGCTGTCCATCATGCTTGCCATTGCATTTGCAAAACTAATGAATTTTGGACCTTTACATCTTTGCATCAATCGGTACAGAACTGGAGAACTAATTGGATTCACCACCATTGATATTGCGGTTCAGTCCCTTGAAGATGGGCTTGAAGATGCGGCTGCCTGGTCGAATGCTACCGAAGTTTTCATTATTCGCAAGAGCGATGGACAAGTGCTAGGGGCAAGATTACCAGACGACAAGGAACACGGACACAATAATAGCCAGGATACCAACAGGCGTCTTTTGGAAATGGCCAAGAGTGGCGATGTGTTTGAATATGATGATCACCTTGTGTCGGCGAATCCCTTGGTGCCTTCCAAAGATTCAGAGTCCGGTGAAGATAATCATCATGATGACCACCCAGATACTTTTGTGCCACAATACTATGTCTTGCTTTCCATTCCAACATCCAACGTGCCACTGAAGGAAGAAATCAATGCTGCAATTGACAACGATGTCATTCGCAATGTCATGACGAGTCTCATTCTTTTCCTTGTTGGATGTTTGGCTTTCTTTATCATTCTTGGAGGAGTCTCTTCAGCTCTCACCGATCCATTGCTCTGGATTGAAGATGTCGCCCACAGAGTTCTACGAGATCAAAACAGCCATCGGCGGATCGTTCTAAATGGCGATCCTGTGAAAGGGAACCTTAGCAAAGTTGGAGCAGTAAGCTATGCCCCCAAAACAGAAGTATATTACTTGGTGAAGGAATTCCAGAGCGTTCTTTCAGGTCTGAGTGGTGAAGGTGTCAGTCGAGTTGCTTCTCCTACTCCAAATTCCACAAAGAATGGTCTCACCTACAGTAATGAATTCGAAAGCTACTATGGGTTTTCGGACGAGAGCGAGAAACAATTGCATTCATTTGATCCGGCTGGGATGAGAGAGGATGGGATGCGAAAAGAAAATTCCAAGTCCCGATTCACCCTGCCATCGATGGACGGAAATCGGATCGAGAATACCAGTGTTGTTGAAACTCCCTCGAGGAGAATCAGCAAGTATCCCAATCCTGGGCCAGTAATGAACGAAAGCCTTTTAGCGACCAAGCCAGTGCGCGAAATCAAAGGATCTGAAAGGATTTGCAAAAGTTCATTGTTTCGATGGATTGTGATTTTGATCATTATTCCATTGGTCTTGACCAATGCAGTCCTGGTGACATTGGTGACCAATAGTATCACTAGCAGCACTCCACAATGGATTCAACTTGCGGAAGAAGGTTCAGAACGAATTGCAAGGCAGAATTTGCTTTTTGTTGCAAGAACAAAAGCGTCAGTCATGTCGTCGGTGGTCCGAAGAGTAACGCGAGATCTGCATTTTTTCTCCAGAGTGGTTGGATGGCTTTTCTTTGAGGGAATCACTCGGTCAGATTCATTTACAAAAGGAAGATCTGGCTCAGCTGAAACGTGCAAGAATCATTCTGCCGAGGACCCCATCTGCCCTGTCTTTCCAGAGATCCCTTGCAGCTGCGATTGGGAGAGTCCTTGGGAAACGAAACCTTGGCCGGGATGCTCCATCTTTGAAAATGTCACGGATTCAAGGTTCCTTCAGGAGTTTCATTTGACTGGACAATTGACAGACGCTGACAATACAACCGGGAATCGAAACTCCACTCTGAGCTTTCCAGAACTGGGCAGTATACCTGATACAACCTATTGGTATTCCAACCCAGCGGAAGCTCCAGGAGCCAGTAAGGGAACGAATGCATCGGGGGATGAAACCACCTATGATCGAATGCGAGTGTCTTCGGCTGCATCAGTTGTCTATTTTCCAATTTATAACTATGCTACAAGTCTGGGAAAGAAGAAACCAATTCTTGGAACGTTCATAGGGTTTGAAAAGGATGGCATGTTTCATGGAGCAGATGGATGCTATGGTTTTGATGGAGAAATACCCCATGCTGTATCAAGCAAGGCCAATCGTGCAGCAGAAATTGCGCCGAATCTTTGTCCGGAGGGGAAATATGGCTATGATCCTCGATGCCGTGATTGGTTTGTTCACAAAAAGATGTTGCACTGCTTCGTATTCTGGAAGAATGCTAACTATTTTCCCCGTTTTCAGGTATGCCACTGGCAAACGCTTGTACATGGAAGGGCAGGTACCTGTTCATGTCACATCACCATATACCTTCCAGACAACCACACTCACAATTGCAAGTGGTGCTACGTCTCCCATTGCCAACCCCAAGAGTGGTGAATATGTAAGTTGTCTTTCAGATGAATTGAAGCGTTGATTGGACCCGTCAAAGCTCACATGGTGCCCACGATCACTAGATTGGTCAAGTTCTATTAGACTTTTTCCCGCTCGGTTTGCGTGGTTCCATGGAGAGTGCCATACAGCAGCTGTCCTTTGTAATCACACCAGGAAAAGATATCACTGGCGGCGACACGGTTATTGGACCAAACAAAACGGAAGGTTGGAAATCAGAGGCCATTTCGGATGCCTTGTTCCCACTGCTTGGCAATGATGGCGCTGATGAACTTCGTATGAACTTCAAAGAAAAGATTCTCAAGCCAATGAAGAATGGCGAGAGTGATGTTGTGGAAGTTATGCTGGTGGATGAAAATTTTTCGCCAGAATCCTACATATTGGCATTTGCTCCTGTGACATATAGCTTGCTCCAACCCATAGACCCAAGCGACTTTGCAGAAGGTGTCGAGGAATCGAGCGATGTTGTTTACTCTGTTGGAATCGGAGAAAGTAAATCTAAAATCAAGGGTCCCTTTTACGAAGTATATGAACAAATGAGGAAGGAGTTGGAAAACGGACCACGGAACTTTTTCATGACGGTGATTGGTGTGGTAACAACACTATTTGTGATATTTACAATATATGTAAGTAGCCAAAGGAACGGAGTCAATTCATATTGTTGAATGATTTATTTGCTGACAGCTTTACTTTTGAAGGTTGCTCTGAAAGTCACATCCCCGATCATTACATTACTTGAGATTGTTAGAGATATTAATCGAGGTATTTTCAGTGAAGATATTCCTCCACTTGAGGGTGGGTGCAAGGAAAGCATGCAAGTGTACAGCATCTTTTCACGACTGAATAAGCTTGTCATGGTATCGAATACTGCCTTCTTCGCGCACAAGATGGACAAAGCAAAGCATTTCCTCAATACTGCACTGAAACTGTTTCATAAGATCGATGATGAAAAGGCAATTGGAATCGCAAGTAATAACCTGGCAAACACGCTTTTTGCGACTTTGTATGCTGAATCACTGGAGACTGAACAGCCGCTTGTTTGTTCCAGCCCTGGATTATTGAATCAAGCTATACAGCATTATGAGAAAGCTGTGGATGTGGCTCAAAACGAATTTGAAAGTGCGCATGTGAAAGACAAACCAATCTTTGCGGAACGACTTGGCGATCGGCTTTTCAATAGAGGGATGTTTCTGTTATTCTGTTCCAGGTATAGCTGTGCACCTCCAAACGCAAAGTCGGAAGGGTATGAGAACATCAGGCGAGTTCGAACACTACACTACGAACTGAGGGATTATCTTCTGGAAAACAGATTGCTCTTTGAACAATCTGCATCATATTGGAACCGTCTGATTCGCCGAATCAATTGTCTGCTTGCTTTCTACAACGACGAAGAGTTGCGGAATCTATGGGATGCTGAAAATCTTCTTGACGAAGCCGATGAAGTCATGATGGCTCTGTGGCAAATGCCTGCTGCTCCTCTCTTCACTGAAGTTACTCCTAATGGCCGTCGACAACAATTGGAAGGAGCTGCAATCATCCTTTGCCATCAAATCGGTCATGATGACCAAGCTTACCACCTTGCAATGAGAATGTTTGCACAAGATGAGTACCTTCTAGATGCATCATTTGTCCCTGCTGCAGAGACTCTTCTTGATATTGCCGAAGCTGGGGAAATTGCAATCTCGGCAAAGCTACAAAATGAATTGCGAACAATGCTCCGAAACAGATCAAGAAACCCCATGGAATTTCTGACGATGGAAACCTTCTGATTGCCTTTTGCTTCCTTTGAATTGATAGATGCCAGACTTTGGAGAAGTTTATATTAATGGCTTTGATTTATCTATTTACCATCTATTAGTACTAGAGTATAGCTATAGTCCAAACCAATTCTTTCCATGGGTTGAAGATGTATTTTGAGATATTTGGATAACAAGAAGAAGGGACAAGCAAGAAGTCATTACTTGAAGTCTATTGCCTAAGATTGAACAATGCCTGGAATACCCGGCAGACTGAGGGATTTTGGTCATTGTCGAAAAGACAGAAAGACCCTTGTATCCAACCTGGGTAAGCCTGGCCCTTGTGGGTAAGCCTACGACCGTTAAACAATACCTAAGTACCTCGATTTACTTAGCATTTTCCAAACTGTCAAGTATAACTCCAATCTGTGTTCCTAGTCAAGACTGGACTGAAGAAGACAGAAGATCTTCTCCAAAGTCCTGGGTATAGCACTGTCAGGTGTTGCTGGGCGTGCATGCTGCAGTCCTACCTGGCAAACGCTTTGGCTCGAGCTCCTGCTTTGACCGAGCCACATATTTGTAAGATTTGAAAACACTAGTAAAATAGAGGAATTGACAACAAAACATCAAATCACATCAAAACAGTAGCTAGCTACCCATTCACACCCACATTGGTTCTTCAAAGGAAAGATCGCAGGTTCAAAGGTCTGGAACCACAGAGCATCTTCCAATTGCAAGAGATGTTATGAACTTTGTGTATTGCAAAATGGAGTCCCTTGGGATCACACAAAATAGAAATTCATGCATTTGTCATCTGGTCTCTCAATGAGAACAAAAGACAAGATGAAAAACAAAAAACGAAAAACGAAAAGCACCAAACCGATCGGAACTTTGCAAATGGTCTTCGTAGTCTAAGTACTAGAGTCTACATAGGAATTGCTGAGGTTTTTATCAATTCAACGGCATTTCACTGTTTTACATTGGGAAAGTATACATCATTGAAGGTTGTTTCAACAACTGCCTTGGCAGGCGGGTCCACATCCAAATTGGTTTCTGTTGCCAAAAAGAGCGGAAACAAAGGATTGGAAAACGCATCTGCAGTTGATTTATGTCAACCTAAGAATAGGGACCCGATTGTCAACAATGATTCAGAGATCCAAGCGATGATTGCATCACTGCCACCACAGATTGATTTTGGTCGCTCTACTCACAATTTAGTGGCTATTGGATACAACAAGAATTCAACTCAGATTTTGTTTGGAAACTCCATTTTAAATCAATGGATGGAGGACCATAACGATCGTTGGACCAAAGCTCTTCCAAACTTTGATAGCCCCTTTAAGGATTTCTAAGCTACCTATCCAGTCAAAGTCAGGGTCAATATGATATTTGCCCAATATGAAAACGATTGGCAATGTGTGTTAACATTTTTTATCTCAACTTTTGAAGGTGATGCTTTGGATACTGCAGACAAGAATACAGAATAGTGGGGAGTGAGAGCAATTGCTTTGCAAGTCGCCCAACAGACCCCTTTTTCCTGTTTTGATATTTGTGAGGGTTAGGGTAAAAAACACCACAAGAAGATCTGTACTTTCCCATCTTTACAAAACGAAACACCTTTGGTACAGTTTTGGTTGATTTGTGCGTCCATGTTCGACCATCCTTGGACGATGTGATCCCTTGCGTTCAAGAAACAAAATTAAAGGTAATTGAGGGCTTTCCTAACAACAAAACCAACAAGGTAGAGATTCACAAGGGAGTTAAACAGATTTTTTACCCCGATTATGAGGACTCGGGTTAGTCAACAAATACGCCCAACCTGATGACACCGTGGACTACAGCGTAACCGATAGGAAGAAGGACATGGATGACAACAAAGATGATTGTTGGGACATGACAAAATATAAAATTTTACGTTCCTTGAAAAACTATTCAAGTACAAAGTTTTGACACTCTTGATCATGATGTCAGCATTCGACACGAGTGACCCTATGTAAGTGGAATATCGATGTTTTGTACGATGCAGTGGGAATATTACAACAATAATAACTGAGACATTAGGGGTTGTCAATGAACCCAACCCAACTTTTTTTTGGGCAGCTGTGATTGGTTGAGCAAAAAAAAAAGGTGGTTTGGGTCCTGACTTGCTTCTGCTTGGGCAGATAAGATCGCTGGAGTCCAAACGTTACCTGTACTGTTCCAAGTACCGAAAGTCTTCAACTTTTATCTTCGAACGAGACATGAACGCAATTTACAATGGGGATGTTTAGCCGTGGCTCAACAGCGAAGAATTCTTGCAGAAGTACCGCATGTCGAGAGAGAACTTCCACAAGCTTGCGGACAAGATTAGAGACTGTGATGTATTTCAAACTCAAGATGACAAGCCCCTGCAGTATCCAGTCGAATATCAGTTGATGGTGTTCTTATTCTTTGTTGGACAACTGGGAGCTACCCATCCTCAAACCAGGAACATGTCTAACATTTCACGCGGAACTGCAAACTTGTTCCGGAAAAGGTATGTATTGCTGTAATTGTCTTGTTTTGAAACTACTAGATCCAATTTTTAACAATACCATGGACATAACGGATCATCCAAGCAATTTTGTCCTTGAAAGATGACTATGTCTATTGGCCAGACGCGGAGGAAAGAGAGGAGATAGCACAGCAAAAAATGGAAAAGTATTTGTTTCCAAACTGCGTTGGCTTCAGGACATTGTTCCCTTTATTCTTCATCCAAGGATGCCCCCAACTATTTTGGTCGCAAGTGTCGCTACAGTTTCTCTGTCCCTATTGTTTGTGACGACACAAAGAGGATTTGGTACTATCTTGCTGGTTGGCCTGGTAGTACTCATGACAACCGTATCTGAAAAAACAGTGATCTGTACCGGAATGCAAGAGCGCTTCTCTGAATTGCAGTACATGTTGGGGGACTCTGCCTACAAGTGCTCACAATACATGGTTGCAGCATTCCACAACTTTGACGGTCATCCATTGGGAAATGATGAAAACGTTTTTAATGCAGCACTCGCCAGTCCAAGAGTGCTTTTGGAACACACTATTGGAATTCTGAAGGGTAGGTTCCCCTGGCTGCAATCAATAAAGAATAAGATCACTGATGATGTGAACTCGCGGAGACGAGTCATTTCAATGATTGGAGTCTGTATCATCCTTCACAATTTCCTCATTGAAGAAACCACCCCGGATGACTTCATGTTTGAAGACGATGACAAATCAACTCTAACGTCCCAAGAGCCTCTGGCACCTGATGACAAAGTGAACCAGCCAGTTCCTGATTGGGCAACCGGGGACACTTGTCGCACACAACTAAAAAACTACATCCTAGAATTAAGGGGCAATTAGACTATCGTTATCAGTTACTTGACTATTTTGACAAACGAAGGACAACTAGTAGGGGGATTAGACTTCTCCATCTTCTTCCAACTCCCGGAACTGCTTTAGAATATCCACAAGATGTGGATGCATCAAGTGGATGTATCTGTCGCTTTTGTTCTCAGCTAAGAGGCCATGGAGCTTGGCGAGACAAGCCTTCCTGAAGCTTGCCTCTTCTGCAATGGCCTGACGTTTGAATACCTTTTGTTCCTCTTCAAATTGCATACGGAAGTGCTTCTCCCGTTATGAGATCTCCTCCTTCTTCAGTCCAACATTCTCTTCATGTTGCTTTTGCTTTTTACTCCCTTCCTCATCCAGCTGACTCTGTGACGTACGAAGAAAGGATTCCATGGTCTCCTCTTTGATACGCTTTCTTGCAGAAATGATGACCGGATCACCAGGTGGTTGCTTTTTCTTTGAAGCATTCGGGCTCTTTTGTTCTAAAATAACAGGAGGGCCTCTCTTACCTGGTGGGGTGGGTGTTGCCAGTGTCGGCAATGGCCTTGGAGTTCTTTTGTCAACGGAAGTTGATGTACTACTTGGAGTGGTCACCCGAGTTGCGGTCGAAGCACTTGGACTTTCCATGCGGTTTTCTGCTACTGGATTATTCTTTCCACCAACCATACCAATAACACCAAGCAAAGAATCATTGTCACCGTCTGCCAAATCATTTCCCACATCACCAAAGCCATCATTCGGCATCTCTTTGTTTGTCTCAGGTGAAATGCCAACACGGTTAGTGAATATAGGTTCTAGTTCGAAAAAGTTCTTGCACCTTTTCCTTACTAGGTCTTGGAAGCTGCCTTCATCCGTTGCCAACAGGCCAACACCAGTTTCTATGTACATGAAATCCCGTGCAACCTTATAGGCTTGTTCAATTCCTCCAATCTTGTCTCTAACCTGTTCAGCAGTTCTTTCAATCTTGATTCCTTTTGTTTTAAGCAGGCTTGAGATCTGGTGGGAGTCAGGGTGTGTCTTTGAGGTGCCTTTGCTACCGTTACCACCGCGGTAATTGCTGTAGTTGTTGGCTGTAAGGATAGTTTCCGAATTTACTGGATCAGTTGGGCCATTTGGGCCATCTTTATCCCAAGGGACCCGGGATGATGCCTTTGAGCTCTGAATGGCCAAGTAACAAGCCTTGGTGCAAGCCCAAAACACTTCCCCGTCATTAATTTTCATAATATTCAAATTGTGCTTGTTCAACACCTGCGCTTGAGAGCAGGAAGTGTGGAAGTGTTTTGGGCACGTCAAGTTTGCATATTCAACAAGTCCACGATGGGCATCAGTCTTTTGCGAGCATCGCTTCTTGTATGAACAGGTTTTCAAAACAGTTCCAGTACTCATGATGATATGTGGAGCTGTTTCAAAAAGAATGTACTCGTACACAACATTGATGGCATTTTTCCTTCACTGTCATACCAAAAATGGAGGGAAAATAAGCAGGCAAAGTGTACCTACGAGATATCTTACGTCACTGTAAACTACTGCATTTTTCAAAAATAGTTGGTTCGTGGCTTCAAATGGGGTGGTCAAATATCGGCAAAAATACTGCATTTCTATTGGTCTATAAAAATAACAAAAAATAGTTGGGTTGGGTTCATTGACAACCCCTATTAATCGTTAATATGCTACTCTCTGGGCATTCAATTGCCGGTAAATGTCGGCTGTAAAGGTCAGGTACTGCTGAGCGATGAGTCCACAACAAGTTTGAACCATGTGAGGCATCTGTAAGACAGAAGTTGCTCAAGTCGTATAGAAGTCAGGGACAACTTCTCCTGCAGCTGGGAGGGTGAATTTGGGGCACTTAAGGTCCCGCAAAAGGGTTAGTTGGAGTCTGGGAGGATTGCAGGAGAGAAAAGCGTCCAAAGACTTTGGCATTGAGCTTTCAAGGACCGACGGTAATCCCTGCGCTCCTGTCAAAGTAACACAAGCCAAGATTCCTTGTCCATCAGTGATTTACGGAGGACTTGTCGGCGACAAGTGAGCAAAGGCTTTTTTTCCTATGGTAAATCGTCCGGACCCATATCAAACTGGGAGTGAATACCTTCATTAGCAGTGCGATGACGTTCACGGAGCTGGACATTATCATCTGAGTGTTGGGCAGAGTTCCGCTGCTCCCTCATATAGAAGCCGAGTGCAATCAGTTCCTGGGAAAGCTGAGAAGCCCAAAGAGAGACGGATCGACAACTTCTGATCTCAACAAAGTAGTGTTGTTGGAGGGGGATCCAAAGCAAAGCAATCCTACCTTCCAAGAGGCCTTGGTAACCGATAACCTGTTGTGCCAAGAAGCTAGCTGAACCACAGGAGAGATAGCCTGGGTGGAAGGGAGGGTGGGGTCGCAAACTCCCCCGAGTAACATCAGAATCGCCTTTTTGATGGAGTGATCCGTCAGGCGCATATCCATCCATGTGGATAGAGCGGAGACCCGGCGTTCCCATTCCTGTGTGGCGGAGACAGCGCAGCATTGAAGGACATGTAAATGGTCCTCAAAGGACCCACAGTGTGGACAAGCTGCTGTCTTTTCCAAACCCCAGAGTACCTTGAATTTGCCGGTGCCACACATCCCCACCCAATGTTTGGTGATCCAACTTTTGAGGCCAGTTGGAAGAGACCGCATGGCACGCCCAAGAGTATCCCAAGCGATTGCAGCTTTGGCTTCAGGAGAGACCACCTGTTTCTCCCGCCAGCGTCCCCAAAGGCTGTGTAAAGTGACACGTTCTTGAATGAGCTGATTATCAAGGCGGGACTGTTTGGAGTCCACGACAAACAAGACGGCGAGTTCTGTGAAGAAACCAGGGGTTAGGTGCAATCAGCTGATGATTGGCCTTGAGCTCCCTGCAAAACTCCACAGCCAGTCCATTGACCTCCAGGTTCTTCTGCTCCCACCAAGTCATTTCCTCAAGGAGAAGGGTCTTGTCAAGGTGACCATACACATGCTGAGGAGACCAGGACACCAACGAGCGAGAGATGTCTTCCTGGATGGCTGAGACCAAATCAAACTGCATGTCCGTAGGGGAGAGGAGAGGGCGGTCTTCAAAGGCCATTTCAATGGCCGCCAGGCCGTTGCACGCAATCCTCACCCTTGGCCACTGTCATAGGTTGGGGAACCATTGCTGTAGAAACCAGTTGACAGCCATGATACCAGCAAGAAGACCGATGAGTTCACTCCGGTAAGGGCTGATCATGAGGAAGGCCCGGCGTCTGACAGCGGATGATAATGCGGTTGGGGCCAGACTAAGTCAAAAGCAGAATTGTTGCAGTTCCAAGAGTGTTCTTGAAGGACCCATCACTGATCACTCGTAGGCAACCTGCAACCAGGGCTGCAGCAAGACTAGACTTGTCACCCTGAATTTCAATCTCATCCGGAAGCCATCCATAGTAATCCGAACAGAGTTCAGCAGCCTCTTGCCAGGCTTGGAGAACAGAATGACGAGGACTAGGCCTGTGTGGCGCGGAACAGCTGGTGCCTGTCAAGAGAACTGAGTCATAGCCTTGGAGGGTGCGGACGGATGCCCGTTGCACATCGACAGGAAGTGGTCCCTTCCACCAGGGACTCTTATTTGGAAGCAAGGCGACATAGGGAGCAGAGGTGGTGTGAATTGAGACGGAGCGTAGCGACAAGAGGTGGCAGCCGAGCCAACAACGGCAAGGTGTTTCCAAGTGGCACCCGTATGATGAAAAAGGCCCACAGTGGGAGACCATAGCCAGTTCCAGTTCTCCACAGGATCAGACCAGGGACCCAGTGGTGGGATATGACAAAATATGAGTTTTTCCGTTTCAAGAAAAACTATTCAAGTACAAAGTTTTGACAAGCAAGATCGGATTTTGATCGTGATGTCAGGATTCGATGCAAGTCTGCCGGACAATCTATATCCACATGAAAAGGGAATGACCCTATACAAGAGGGATATCAATGTTGTGTACGATACAGTAGGGAATAATACAAGATGTCCGAAAGTACTGCATTGGACACAGAATCCTCATAGAAGCCAAATCGAGTTCTGTAAACAAGGGATTTTCCAAGAGAAAATCGTTGAACTCACTTTTGTGATTGACTCATCAATTCAAGCCAAATATTTCACTCAAAGTATACCTAACACAGGAGAACTATTGTCTTGAAAGTGTTGTACAGTCGATTACGAATTTAGATTGCAGAGAGTTTGTTCTGAGTGCTAAAGGCACTCACTATAGAGCACATTTTGCTTTATTTTAACATTCAATCAGAAAAGGCAACGAAACAAATTTACGTCAAGAACAGCACTGCCTTATCTACAAAGGAGTGAGTGATTCGTTGACTATGGGACGTTCTTCATCCGGTGGAGGAAAAGGACGTGTGACTCCTCAGAAAGTCAAGAACAATTCGAGTTCAACAGTTGTGAAACATCTATGTTCAACAAAAGATAAAAACGATGGTAAGGCAAGATCGTCATAGGAAGATGCCGAAGCAAGAGTGATTGACTACATCCAAGCTTCTGGAATGAAATGTTCCGAAGACATGGTGAAATCAATTTGAGATGGAAAGTCGATTGACTTCAATGCTCCAACATTGAATGCTCCAACTCAAACTGAATCTATTGCAAGAGAAACAGATATGGCTCAAAACAAGATTCTCTATTCTGCAAAGCTTGACAAGAATATGCAAAGATCATCCTACTTTAAAACGAACAAGCAAACTGTTAACTCTAACCCTAAATTTGCAGTCAAGACCAAATCGTACCAATACTGCTGCTGAAGATAAGTTCAAGGATGATATCTTTGAAGCCGTCCTTGCAACAGGGTTCCTGTGCAACTGCGATCGAACAAGAACAGCTCCTTTGATGCTGAATCTTCAGACGAACTACTGCAGGGAAGTGGATTATTATCCAAAGACGGTCAGCAAAGCACAAGATATGTTAAAGATTCACATGGATGTGATCAAGAATTCAGGAGCAACAGTCCCAGCAACAGTCCCAGCAACAGTCCCAGCTACAGTCCCAGCTACAGTTCCAGCTACAGTTCCTTGAGCTTCTCCACTGACAAGTATTATCACAAGTGGAACATCGAGTGTTGCGGGAAGCGTTAACATACCTTTGCAACTTTCTGGTACTACAGGTAATCAATTGATGCAAGTTCCTTCAGGAATGCAGCTCATGCAGATTCCAACTCAAGGTGGCGGCACTGTGACTGTCCCTTACTCAATGAATGCTAATGGTGAAATTGCGTTCAGTGGAATGCAACTCAGCCAACAAGGCTTTAGTGGTGCTCAAATGTGCCAAGGATTGGATGCAACTCAAGCTCGAACTCCGCAGGTTGTGAAGAGTGGCTATTTTGATACGTCAAATGTCTGGCAAGAACAATGCGGTACAATGGATAAGAAAATCTGAGTTGCCATCTTGGCCGTGTTCCATTTGAACAATTTTTCAAATGCGCTCACCTTTTGTTTAGTCTAAACTTAAAAAGAATGCACCAATTTCCCATCCAAAGCAAATTCTCATTCCACCACCAGCGCCAGGAAGATTGTTGTCAGCTCCAAATCGCATTGTCTAAGTCCCACCAACCGTGCAGCACCCAGTTGCGTCTCCTCCATTCTTAAATCTACCACCCTAACCCTATCTTCAGAATGCTGCATTTGGAGCATACCAGCAAATGTACCATCTTCTTCCATTTCCGACGCCCAATCCAACTGTTCCACTCCAATTGTTTCATTTGTCTCCACGCCCGAATTCAACTCAAGCATTTTGCTGTCAACCATATGTGGAATACATGAATCACAAAACCATTACCAGCAGGAAGCAAGCGGGACGCATTCCACACACACCCCAGTGCCCGACAAAACAGTGGAAATTGATCTAGGTAGAGTAAATGTTCAGAAATAATTAGTTTGAATGTCATATCAAGGTATTGTGTGTTCGCAGAGGGATGCTGGCTCTAGTTGTAGTTGGAGCGAGTGGTGGACATTGTTCCTATAAGATAGAGTCAACAGTCAATGAGAGACTTGTAAACATACTCCGGGTTGCAAAAGGAACTTACATGTGATTGTGGTGATTTTGCCGTGTTCTTTCCTGTTTTGCCCATGACTTTACGTTCTACTTGCGTAAGCTGGTCTCCAATCTGTTTGATGATGAAACTTTTACCCAATGTGATGAACACGAGATTGGCAGCTTCGCTTAAAGTTTTAGCAAGGGCGTCACGATTGTGCTTAGCACCTCTCATGCCTTTGCCAGGCCGTAGGATGTATTGGAAAAGGTGTCCAATGGCTTCTCTCACCGCTGAGCCATGCTCTTTTGACGTCGCCATTATCCTTAAGTCGTCTAGAGAGGATGTTTGTATTGGATTTCCCTTATCATCTTTCAGGTTCAAAATGTTGAACTCCAAGACAAGCACCAATTTGACCTTTAATTTAATTTTGCGGGCGAGCTTCGTACGGAATTTCTCCAGATGTATTTTCAAGGCCACGACCTCCTTGTCTTCGATCATCTTGTTAGGATAGTCGGAGTTATTCCTTAGAATCTGTCTTGCCTGGTAGTGGACTGGGTCTGCTTTGAATTCTGCTACGGCGGCTGGGTCCTCTGACTTCAATTTTGTAGCAACAGCCTTTCTATCATTGCTGTTATGGTAGAGATCACCTGGTATGTGGGCTTTCAGATTTTTCTTTTCCTCTGGGGACATCTTATCCACATGGGGTCGCGGTAACTGAGAATTGTGGAACAGGTACTGTTCCACAAGAGGAGTCGATATTAACCCATTCAGACATGTGAATTTGGCTGTGTTGATGCTACTATCAAGAATGCTTGCGCATTCACCACCAGGCAATTGAGATGCCGGCATTATGAATCTTTACAGGGTTCGGAAAAAGAAACATTGAGATGGGATTGTTGTTGTATTGCGCAAACGCGGGTGTAATCCCAGGATATGATGCAGTATATAACCATGATGAAATGCTCGACGGACAAAAGGAATCTGCTTGCAAAATTCTCTAATGATCGTGTTGTATGGCATATAAAGGTCAAGCTAGTTGGAAATAAAACGACCAAAATCAGGTCGTATTAAGGTTCCATAAGATGCGACAAGAAATATTAACTAAATAAATAGCTTTAATTGTTGACACCTGAACACCAAACCCCACCATACATCTCAGTTTTCACGTGCACACCCACAAAGTAGTAAGCAAAGCTGCCTGGGGAAAAGAAGACGGGCCACTTTGCAGATAAATTAACACTTATTATCTTTTAGCATCTGCTCAAAAGGGGAATCAAAACAATTCCAATTTGCAATTTCACAGCACCATCTTGATAAAATAGTTTGGAATTTCAATAAGCATATCAAACGTCATAGATTAAATTCATCCTGATCAAAATGACGCAAAAAATTGCAGTGGTAGAAACAACGCCCCACCGACCCACAATCAAGCCTACACACCCGATCCAGCTGTCAACTACCTTAAAACCTCACCTCCTTGCAACAAATCGAACTTCAATGAAATATCTGGAGACGATCTTGTAGGTTTTGGTACACTTGTATCTGATCATTTCTTTGCCCCTCAAGACCGCATACCTACTGGATCGAAAAATACCTCCATGGATGCCACATTAGGTGAAATCTTCTAGAGCGATGACGGCAACTTGCCTCTCTCCGAGAGGCAAGTTGCAAATACAATAACACAACGAGAAATGTTTCTACCACGAGCCAAAAGAAGAAAACCACTAAGGGCCCACAAAGGAAACAAAGGAAACAGCTATGTCAAAGAAGGCAGATGACCCAAAGCAATCACAAGACCACGCAGAATACCCAGCTTCGAACCCTCAAGATCAAGCCGACCATCTTTGCAGCGACCATCAAACAAAGGTTTCCGATTTGATGTGATATGCATCAGGCGATCTTGGAAAGTATTCTGGTAATGCGAAATCCTCCAAATTCGTTGAAATGTCGGATTGCCAAGGTTGTAAGTGCGGTTTCGGTCAGGTTGTTTAGTAAAGGCAGCACCAAGAAGTAATGAGTCGAGTTTTGCACCCTTATCTTTTCCAGTTCGTCTTTGACCTCATCGTCGGAGCAGATCCGCCATATGAAGTAATCCGCCCCACATAAACTAATATGATACATATCGGGCTCGATCTGATAGTATCTTTCCTCCTCCCGATTTCGTCCAACTAAAACAAAGTATCGTGCGTTCTCCATGACAATACCTGTGATAAGATTGTTTCTCGTGAACAAGTGTCTGTTTGCTGTCTCAATATCCTTGTATCTTACAAAGTTTGAGTTTGTGTTACAAATCATCTCATCTTCAATCCTTGTTTCGCCGCCCTTTGTGGTGCCCTCTTTGATCTCCTGGTCTATAGCCTGGAGAATCTTCAATGTTGCCGGTTCAGAAAACAATTCCTCATCCATGCTTGAAAGGAAAGATGGTTTTGCGTCTCTCAAGACATTCCTGAACGATTTATCCTTGTAGTACGCATTTGCCACATTATAGGCCAAGGTCTCTCCATGAGTACCCGAGGAAAATCTCTTCGTCAGGAGCTGAATCAAAGCCCCACACTTGAAATCTAGTTCTGAAAGAGGCCGAACCGGATCGTGTTCTCTCACAAGATCCGGATAGTTCAGTAAACCTAGGTAGTTGAAGGTTGTTCTCCACTTTGGGATCCGATCCTTTCCGTTCTCTCCCGATTTCTGCTGTCTTAATGCGTCAAAAAATTGGATGCAGGATAGGAAGATCTTGAACGAGGGGTAGTTCTTTGGTATCTTGAAAATGATGAACATCATGTTCCAATCGGCACAGTTGCATTGTGGTCGTCTTCTTTGTTGGCCATTCGTCATCCTCGAATTGTGGCACTCGGCACAAGATGGAAGATTCTTAAAAGCAATGCCCTGCGAGAGATCGACGGCCCATCCGAATCTGCCACCATACCGGCCGTTCCCATAGGTGAAACATACCCAAGACGATCGTTCTGGTCGATCTTGTAGGGTACAGAGGAGTTGAAGTGCTATCTTCACTTCTTTCCCTAAGAGGTTTCGACAAGGCAATAAAAAAGGTTGGTTTCAAAAGTGCAATGTTTTTTTTTTGGTGGTTCCGTTATCTTATTTGTGTTTACCTTTCAAGCTGTCAACAGGCCAGTAGAAACTTGTGGGCTGTGACAGTGCTATGAGTTCTTCTGCTATCTTTGATTTGACAGCGCGTTCGTCTCTGCTGCTTGGTTCCAGCGAAAGAAGATAAGCGTTGCATCCAGAATGGTAGTCGTCTTGTGGTGTGCCGATCCCTTGTTTTTTTTTGGGTATTGTTGGGATCAAAGTCATCCGACCACAAGACAACTTCAACTGGAATAGCATCTTTGGAATCCTCGGAACATGATGCTGCAAGTGTCTTTCCACGTGGTGAAGATCCATGGAGGGTCCGAACAGCAGCACTGTAGGGAAGGTCCACGAGTGGTTCCAACCGTTTCCGGTCTGCCAAATGGTACTGGACGATTTCCTTGATGGAAACGTAGACATAACCAGAGGTACCCAGGATTTGGATTGTTGGTCGGGGAAGAACGTCTTGAATGGATTTGGTACCATCAGTGAATAGTTACCGGAGTACCTTTGGCTCTTCTGAGACACGAAGTGGAAGCATAGTTGTGTTGGCCTTGTTTGCAGCGCCATGCACTTTTGTATAAAATAAAAGCGCTGTGAACACTCTTTGTTGATGTTTACTCAGTTCACTGGCAAATGATGACAGTAGGAGTGAGTACATTGCATGACCGTGATCAACACTTTCGACAGTATTGTTGTCGCTATTCCTATTGACAGTAGCTGCAACTAACAGTCTGGATGCGTCACCGTTTGTCTCGTTTCTCCGGAAGTAGCTTGCTGTCATTGGAATTCTTGCAGATTTTGTTGTGTTTGGGCGATCATCTACTTTCCTTGGAAAATAGTTGTCAAAGGACCCAAGATTTACATCATCGCACTTCTTGATTTGAATTTCTAGCCAATCAGAGCCAAGGTCAGGGATGTAGTCAGTCTGATTGCTATGATCTTCTTCTGTCTCCTCCATAGAGTCATTGTTGGAAAGGGACCATGCATCCCCCTCTTCTTCATGATTGTCGGGGGTTGAAGCGTACTCTCTTGTGGATGTCAGATTACTAGTGTCAAGGAGTAGGCTTTTGTCTTGAATATATAGTGGATCCTTGAGTGCTTCAAATTTGCTCACGCATTTTGAGTGTGTTTTTGTTTTCAGATGTTGTTGTATCTTTTGACCTAGATCAGTTGAGCATTTACATGCGCGACATAGATACCATTGATGACCACAGCAGGCCGTATCACAAACAAGCCGAGCAATGTACGTATTATGTTGTCCATCAGGACAAATTCGTCTCCTCGTGTCGTGATGCATATCCTTGGTTTTGCTGTTGCAATTGGGCTTGATGGTGTTTGATTGATCATGTAGGTGTCTTCTTGCAACACGATCTTGATGGGCCCTTTTCGAATGATGGCAAACTGGACAGTCCGCATCCAGGATCACATCCACGCCTCTCTCTGCAAAGAAAGTTGCAACAATGAAGACTGTTCTAGCTGGACACAAGATTGATTTCCTCAAAAAGAGATATCCGAGCAGAGAAGTATCAATTGAGATTCTTGGATGGATCCTTATGGTATGATTGTTGTATCGACGGAGGCGGTGATGTTGCTCCAATAAATAGATAATAGTAAGAAATTCTACCTTGGAAGACTTCCAAAGGATGTTATTTTGATCGTTAATACCCATCACTAGCATGAATAATGCCTTAAATGGAGCCATTGTCATTATGTTTCGGTGTGTTTCGTTTCCGATAGTTACTTTTTTCACGAAAAATCCAAATCGCCAGAACTTTTCGGCCTAAGGGGGGTCCCTTGTAGTAGTGGTGACACTGTCATGGTTTGTTGGGTTTGTTGTTATGCAATTTTGGACTGCCCATAGTTTGATCAATTTGACCAATCCCTCCCCTGCAATTTCCCACACTAGTAGCTAGTATTTACCAAACAGAAAAAAATTGGCCCAATCCGACAAACATTCCACAACTATCAACAAGATTTATTCATAATGCATCATACCTATATAGCGTCATGTGGTTATCACTGTTTTGTGGCACATTCATGAATCAATTCTAATGTGAATGTGCACAGAAATATCTGGAACAATGGTAAGCTCCAACAATAGTGACTTTCTCCTCAATATCAGATGCGAGGCTTTTGTATTTTGGTTGTCTTTCCTTCAGTTGCCTTTCGTTTCTTTTGCTTCTCTTTCTCTCCATCTGATGGTTGTCCTCTAACGATGTCATCTAGACCTGCAAGCAACTTGTCCAAATAGCCAGTCACTTCATCTGTTTTCCTTACAATGCCTTGCGTTTCTGCTGCTTTTTTTGTCTTTAATTTTGGGCGGAGTCGCAAGACTTGCCCTGTAAAGTTATTCGTGGTGGTCTCGCTATCAGCTTCTCGATGGGCACCCAAAAAGCTGTGAGAAGCAAGAACTTCTGACATTTCATCTTGAACTCCTGTCAACTCCCAGAATGCTTCTGTCAATCCAAATATGTCATTGGTTGGTATCCGCAGCACTTTGGATACTGCCATTCCCTCTTCAAGATTCTTGACGCAATCTGGTTTCAAAGTATAGTCTCCATCTTTTGACTTGACAGATGAACCAAACACTACCAAGAGGCAAAGGGCACCAAGCTCGCTACCACCTTCCACCGCTTCAAATTTTGCTTTCATCTTGTCACATTCGATGCTTGCAGATTTTGGACAGAAACTGGATTGCGACTTGATGGACACAAACATCGGAACGTATTGGTACTTTTTTGATGAGGATGAGCGAGTGGCGGTGACGTCGTCTTTTCTTGGTGCTGCCACTGATATTCGCAATGCAAATACAACATCAATGACACTGCAACCTGCAAACACATAAAATCCCACACCCGTTTTGTACATGTTTTCCAAGAACACTTCATTCTGAAGTAAAGACCACAAGTCATCATACGCACGGGCATAATTACGACAGACTTGGATTGCACTGAAATGGACCTGGCAATCGTTATTTTGAGTCATCATGTCGTCACCGTCGTCACCATCATCACCACTACGACCCTCATTGATTAGACATTTGATCCAATCATTTAGTGGTACTGAGAAAGTAGTGTAGTCCTTATTGTCCTTCAAGCTACCTCGGACAATATCGGCACAGAACAAAAAATACAAAGCCACCATGACTTCCCCAAAGTCTCCCTTTTCCGGTGAACAAAAATGGCCTGAAAATAGGTCCTTCATCTTCTGTACCCACCATGCTTTTGGTCTTCCATTCAGAGTCCTGTCTTTTGAAAGAGCCATGGACCAACTATCATCCATGAGACACATTGCCAACCGCGCACAAACAGGATCTGGTGGGAAACAAATTTTGGCAGTTTGCTTGTCATTGCCGTCGACTGTAGCAGGGCTAACCGAAACAAGGTTGGCGTAAGAACGGCCCACAAGACCAGAAGCTGCAGCAAATGTCGTTTGTCCCATCTGCACTCATGTGCCCAACACACTGAGCCAGGTCGTTGCTGTATTTTTGAATGCGCTTGGTGAAGCATCTTGAACAATACGTTGAACAATGATTGACTCGCCAGCTTTCAGTTCTTGTTCGGACATGGCAGCAAAAAGAGGCCGCCCGCGAGGAACGGCGACGCTGTATTCGCTCTTATTTGATGATGAATCATCCATTTTGACAAATCGGAGGCACCCAATCGTAGTGGTAGTGTAAAATGGTGTGTAGGACGTTTTCTCACCCCTCATGTAGAATTCAAGTTTGGGTGACGTGTACTCACGAGTATCGGTGTCCGTCTTGTTTGTAATGTCGTCATCAATGATGAAGTTGGTTAATTTTGCAGTCGTCCCGGTGAATACAGCAACGATTTGCAAATTCCCCCGCTTCTTGCGAATCCATAGGCGAACGATACGCAAGAGCATTGCGTCCATTGTTGTCGTTTCCTTTCCCTTTCCATTTCCCTTTTCCTTTGTATACTTGCCCTCATCAAGCAGGTAGTGTGCTTCGTCAAAAAACACAACCAATTCTGTCGGCTCATTAGCGATATTGAACAAGGCAATCATTTTATCCAGCTTTTTAAATACGCCGTCAACTACTTGTTGAAAGGATTGATTGCTGCTTATGCCGTTTCGGAGATCAATGAATGCGTCAAACAGGTCCTTCTCCTTTTTCTTTTCATCGCTTTCTGATATAGAATCCGAGTTTTTCTCCGATTCAATTAATTTTCTTTCCCAAATTTGACCGGAATATTCTCACGTATGTAGAAAGTACCAGAATAGAATCCGAGTTTTCTCGGAGCCACAAGTTCACATAGGAACTTGGAAAGGTTGATTTCAAGAAATTTGCTGATAGACTCAGTCAGAGCACGGAGGAAGCAAGGGAACACGAAGATCAGCGGAGTCAAACAGTTCGTCGCCAATCATCCAGTATCCTGGTTTCAAAGCTACTACCGATATATCCATTGGCTTCTGTGTCAAGATATATAGAGGCTGGAGAAGATCTATGGCTTTTGCAAAAAGAGTATTGCAGGGAGTTTCCTTTACAAGAACATTGAGTTTTATGGCCGCAAACGTGCCCATATCTGCCAACGAGATTGAAAGTCCTTGGTTGCAAGGTTCCGTAAGATCTTTGTGATTCTCTAAGTAAACTTTGAACTGACAAGTCGCCAAAGATTTTTTTTTGAAAAGTGCAAACAGAAAACAATCAACATTTATTTAGGCGTGGATTGACAATGCCTTTTTCCATTTAGAAGGTTAGGGTACTAAATCAAGCGCGGATTGCCAATGCGCTACTAAATTTAGTGCGGATTGACAATTCGCTACTAAAGTAAGCGCGGATTGACAATCCGCGCTTAAATTTAAGCGCGGATTCGAGTAGAATGATTTCTTATAATTTTTGTACCCACTACCCGCGCAACGGCGAAGAAACAAAAGAAAAAGAGAACAAAAGAGGAGATTGCTGAGGCAAGTCCCATCTCTAGCTTGAAGTGTTATCGTCTAAAAAACAATGTAGACCCAAATAAGCCTGTTCAAAAGAAGGTTAGTCGAAAAGGGGAAACTGAAGAGCAAAGAAAAGCTCGTTTAGCCAACGACAGACAAGAAACAAGGGCGAAGCAGAGGGAGGAGGAGGAGCAGAAGATGAATAATGCACCAGGCACTCCTGGTTTTGCTGGTTACATTCCTGGTCAAGCTAACTTTCAAGATTCCATGCCTGGTGGTAAAGCCAACTTTTCCGGCATTAAATTTGCCCCAAACCAGTCTTTTGGAGCCACCAACCTAAACCACGGCAATGGCTTTGGAGCCACCAACTTCAACACCACCCAACACAATGCTCAGGGAGGCCAAAACTTGTTCAGTGGCGGCCAGTCGTCATTCCTCCCAGGGGCCACCGCTACACCAGATACTTCAAACCCAAGCGATCATGGTGCTACTGGACCGTCGCCATTTGGCGGCTATCCTTGTTCTGGCCAGTCAAAATTCAAACCAGTTTTCTGGACAAACTGGTGGTTTTCAAACTCCTCATGGCCAGTCGACAGTTGCACATGCTGGATCTGATGTGTTGATTGCGACGGCGGGGAGCAATCCACTTGTCTTTGATTTTCTTGCAAAACAAATGGAAAGTAAGAAAGCGAAAGAGAACGCGGAGAAAATACTGAAACTCATTGAAGAGCAGGGCAAGGAGGAGAATAAAAGGAGGAAAGAGGCGGATGAAACGCCTGAAAAGTCTGAGAAAAAGGCGGCAGAAAAGCGTGAAAAGTCTGAGAAAGATGCGAATGAAATGCGTGAAAGGTTCCACAACAAGAAAATTGATACTGCCCGTGCCTTCAATGCTGATGAAGCCGAGAAGTTTAACAATCTAGTACAAAGTGCTAAGAAAGTTGTGCAGAAAACACCTGGCCCTGGGCCCATTCTTGCAACAAGCCTATTCTCACCAACCAAGGCTATCGATTCCAAGCCGGCGGCAACTGGACCTAAAAAGCGATGTCGATTCGATGATTCTGCACCTGCAAGTGGCACCCGCCGCACTCCATTAGGACCCCACCCCGCCGCCAACAGTCCATCAGGGCGACCAACACCATCCCAACTTTTCTCTACTCCATCTTGGAGTAACCCAGCTGGTAGCGCTCGAGGGGGAGACGGTAATACTACTGTCCCTATGGAGGAGGATCAGGAGGATCAGGCTGGAGCAAAGCGATTTACTGGAGCACCACCAGTGTTCAACAATGGAAATCTCAAGCCCTCCAACACAAGAGGACGTCCTTAGATGTCTTCCTACTAGACGCACCTACGTCCGAAACAAAGCATGAGACGTCCAAGAGCGGCTCTTGCTGCTGTACAATACTGTATTTTCCCTGTCCCACTAACTTTTGTGACAATCGGATAGATATAGCATAGAACCATACTCCTGTAACCAACTAATAGACTTGTATTCAAGCATATACATCTATCGGTAGTGCTAGCATTGCTACAATTACAGTATTATCAGTCTAGTCATCCAAACTGGTAGCTATAGTGTTACTAATATGTATAATATCGCCAGTGGCCAAAGGCACGGAGCCTAAAAAATCCATAAGGAATGAGCAGAAAGGATATGCGATCGGAAAGCAACAAAGTAAAGGCTTTTCGCCAGCTTACGATGATGGTAGCGCCAAGGTTCCAGTATGTTCTTGTCCAGCCAAACCTCATACCAAAAGTTTCATTTTGGTCCCAAGGAATGGACTCGGTTTCACGTCATCTTTTGACCATTCACTTGTCGAGAAGTTGCCGTATCTTCGCTGATGCCAGACTTCTTTTTGAAACAAGACAGCCATATTCCAAATCAAAGAAAGAGCTTGAACAATGTGGGAAACCAGACTTGGCCCATCAGCCAATAAATAACTTGATAGATTGCACCTTGCTGGGCCGCAAATCCCGAAAAAAAAGGTAATGGGGTATGAGGTACGAGTTCTTGTTGTCTCCTTTATTCAGCACGATGACTTGACTTGTTCACAAGAGCAGACTCTGTCGCACGCTCAAGTGCCACATGGTACAGTCCACCATTCAAAATTGATACTTATTGCGTGTCATACAGTACCTGTTTGGCTCGTGTGGAAAATTTGACGCTTGCGCAAGGAAGGCATCATCTTCCTCCACATCCAATCGCTTGATGTAAGGACAGAATAACCAAAAGAACAGAAGCCGTCAACTTGGGCCTATTCACCCGCTAAGCAATCGTAGCTTGCGGAATGAGTTTGACTTTGACTTTATCCGCTGCTGCTTAGGATGCTTTGTTTGTGAGTCTTGTTGTTGTTGTTTTTTTGCATGTGTTTGTGCTTGCGATGGTTTTGAATTCAAACCTTGAAACGAGACTCTCTTGTTATTATTTTTATCAAGGCTGCGGGAGTTGGATGGATTGGGTGGAATGGATGGACGATTTGTCACTTGGTTCAACTCCTTCTTCTTCTTGTGTTCGGTTGTCCTTACTTGGTTTAACTCCTCAGATTTGTCGTCTTGCGCGTGGTGATGACGAGAATGATTGTGCTGTTGTTTCTCTTTGAATTGCTTCCAATACTCCTGGTACCGGCTGGCAATGTTGGTGCTACTTGATCGAGTTGGAATCTTTTGATACAAAAGTAGACGTTGGTGATTTGAATTTGATGTGGCGCCCACTGACAGATAGCTGTGCGGGAGCATTCCAACCATGCACATATTTATTCAATGGAAGGAAGTGTCTTGGTTGTTAACTGAGACCATGTTGTATGAGGCCAGGCGTTGAGCGGCAAATCAGCCTCTTCTCCGTACCACGTGTGTACAGCATGCAAAGCTGGTACTTTACGCAGAGTGACTGAGTGAGTCAATCTGTCACCGGCACGTCAGTTTCCGTCATCCTTGCCAGGGAATCTATGACATATCTGAGGACATTCCCAGCAAGTCTGCCATTTCAGGCCGCTCCTGGTAGTACGACAACCTTTGGTCGGGAAATCATCTTCTTAGTATTGAGGTTGAGCACTCAGTGCCCAGTACGTTGTCCCTTTGTAGGCTCAATGTAAATTGTCCCAATTGCATCAACATATTGTCCGAGTTCAGCAACCATGTCACTCTTGTAGTTGATATTGACATTATCAATGAGTTGCTGCGGACTGAAATGTGATGAGATACTGTCTTTCTGGGGAAAGACATTCAATAGCTCGCCGGTTTGACGTCCAAGACATTCAGTGATCACCTTTGGGACCACTTTGTAGGGTAATTGTGCAAGAGCTACTCTGACTCTTTGTCCTATTGTTTTGCTCAGAGGTAGGCTCGTGGTCTCCAGCTGCAGTTGGGTCAATAGTAACACCCATATTGTCTAGCATATCATCCGTCAGAGGAATGAGCGCCCAATCACACTTGATCGTCTTGACTTGAAAGCCTGCCTTGTTGTAGCGGCGGAATATCTTATCCAATGCTTCAAATACAGGGTCAGTCCTCAGGTTCTGCACGGGAATACATGAGCGATAACGTACAGTGGTATCAATGCAGGTGAGAAACTTAGCATATTTGATCTCCATGTGATCAATACAGACGATAATAGATCGATTGTGCTGATATGGTGGACTGAAGAAGTTGTTGTACGTCTTCTTTGGAGTTGGTCTTGTTGACTTGCCTTTCAATTTAGAGGCGTCAGGTCCAAAGATTGCTTCGGCATGATTGATCGCTTCTTCCGAGGCCCAGGCAAACAATAAGAAGGTAGGCCGTGCAGCCATGCAATTTGCCAAAGCGCACTCCTTGATACCCGACGGGCAATGCGGCTCACGCAAACGTCATCAAGCAATTGACCTGGCCTTATCTAAACAATTAGTCTGGGATCTACTGATCCTTCAACGCCGCACAGCGGGGTGGATCTCAAATGATGCCAAGTCCTGCTTTGACCGTGTGGTCCACTGGGTGGCCATCGTCACAATGTTGCGGTTTGGCTTGACATGGCGTGTCCTATCATCGATGTTCAACATGCTCTCCTCCGCTACCCACCGCGTTTGCACAGGTTTTGGTGACTCCAAGAGAAGCTTTCGCCCTCCGTCAGCGGTGCCATTCCAAGGTTGTGGGCAAGGGAATGGTGCAGGACCCCCCATTTGGATCTTGGTGAGCTCAGTGTTAATCACAATGATGGAAGCAATGGGCTATGGATTTGAGTGTCTTTTGGCGTTAGAGTCACAACTAGTGACAGCCCAATGTTTCTGTTTTGTTGACGATACGGACGTGATTGAAGCAGGTGACACAGTCCATCACTCTGGGGAGGATATTTGCGCCTCAGTCCAGGCTGCTGCCACCTTGTGGTCGGGGGGAATTTGGGCAACAGGTGGTGCAATCAATCCGGAGAAGTCCTTCTGGTGGCTTATTGACTTTGAATGGGATGCTCGCAATGGTCAGTGGAGATTCCGTAGGAAATGCTCCGCGGCACCGGAATTTGACCTTATGATACCGGGGTTATACGGTGACATTGAACCCCTTCGTCGCCTTGAACCAGATGATTCCGAACGTACTCTGGGGGTGATGGTGTCGCCACTGGAAAATCACAACGCACAGGAGGCACAGTTGGTCTCTATAGCTAAAGAGTGGGCCAAACAGCTTCGGCCTCACCTGCTACACAAGTACGACGTGTTACCACTGATCCGGACCACGATCATGAAGAAGCTTGAATATCCTATGGCACTCACTACCCTCAACGCTCAACAATGGCAGGACATTATGTCACCGGTTCTCCAGGTGTGCTTACCTAAGTCAGGTGTTTGCTGCCCCGGTGGATTATCAAGGCCTTGGTGTTCCTCACCCCTTTGGCAAGCAAGGGTATAAACACTTGGAGATGATCCTGCGCCATATGACGGGGGGTACAAAGACTGGAAACTACATGGACGCCAATCTCTAGGCTCAACAACTGGAAACCGGTACCTGCTTTGGTCTTCTACAGCAAGATTACCAGAATACATCCATTCTTGCTTCTTATACCTGGCTTAAAAGGGTATGGAAGGAGCTTGAATCTCTGGATATGTACGTGGCCTTTGACTCTCCGGCCCTATCTTTAAGGTGTCATCATGACGCCCTCCTGATTGACTTGTTCATTGATATTGAGGTTGATCAGGACGACCTTCTCTGGCTTAACTGGTGCCGGATGTTCCTGCAAGTAGCCACAGTATCAGATATCACTACTGCATCTGGAACGGTGTCCGCGACGACACTTATCGGACTCCATATAACTGGCCTCGAACGGTAGGACCCGGGAGTCCATATTGGGAACTCTGGCAAAGAACACTGTCCCGCGCGCTCTTTCCTTCACATGGTCAGCACCACCCTCTGCTCCAACCCCTGGGACATTGGCACGACCACTTCGAGTCTTGGAACTGGCTCTGGTCGCCGACTGTTGGGTTGTTTCATCGGGAGGGGGCTGCATGGACCCATCTTGCTCTTGTAGGTTCCTCTACAACTTCTTGGCGCTATGCTCCATCTGGCAGTCACAGTGGGACGGATAGCCTACAACGACCAAGTTCTTGGTGGACTTGCCCTTTGCCTTCTGACGTCCTGCGTGCCACAGTGAGGCCCCTCTCCGGTAGCGACTGGGTGCTCCTCACTGGTACAGGTCTCGCAACCTTGCCTCCCTCTGCCCTGACCCCCTCCATCCTCAACGCCTGGCAAACCTCTGCCGACCTCTGCACAGACTACTATGGGTGGGCCCCTGATGAGATTGAGGTACATGGTGATGAGGCTGCCTTGGCCAATGCCCTGATCCAGGGCCGCCTCAGAATCATCAGCGACGGGTCATACAAAAATGACCTGGGAACTGCTGCTCATCAGCTCCTTCCCAAAGGGGTAACTGCTCGCATTGTCATCCGTTACCTCAGGATCAGAGAGTTGGATTTCGGTTCTGGCGGACATCAGACAAGCGACAGGCTTGTCGTCGTCCAAACCGATTGACAACTTTGTGGCCCATGAAGCCATCATTGCCAACCAGCCGTGCCAACATGCGACCCATCAAGTCGTCATGCAGAGGCACCGACCATAGCGATCTCCGATCCGCCTAATAGGAAATAATCATCTCTACAGGAAATAACTATTCTAAAAGACTTGTTATCTACATGGAATGGGCAAAGCAAAAGCCTTGCACGAAAACTCAAATTTCCCAAAACTTTACTGGATGTTTGCAATCCAGAAAAGGCCGGTACAAAACCCACGTACCGAACTCCCGCAGGATTCAGTATGGGATTTTTGTGGCGCTCAGACGTTTGATAGTCCAAGCGCACAATTCCATGTTTTCAGATTCCCTGCAAAACCGGACTCATAGGAATCCCCCGAATAAAAGGACCAAAACGGACATTTGTCCGTCTGTCCGATCGGACGTGTCGAACTGCTTCTATCAAGGATTTCCAATGAATGGTCTCCAAGAGAGCAATTTCAACACGCTCCTAACTCTGAAGATCAGAGTAGGAGAGACGTCCAAAAGCGTGATGTTCAGCTGGAACATCACATGAGCTGCACCCGTGTACACACCCATTTGACAACTTTGTGGCCCATAAAACCATCATTGCCAACCAGCCGTGCCAACATGCGACCCATCAAGTCGTCATGCAGAGGCACCGACCATAGCGATCTCCGATCCGCCTAATAGGAAATAATCATCTCTACAGGAAATAACTATTCTAAAAGACTTGTTATCTACATGGAATGGGCAAAGCAAAAGCCTTGCACGAAAACTCAAATTTCCCAAAACTTTACTGGATGTTTGCAATCCAGAAAAGGCCGGTACAAAACCCACGTACCGAACTCCCGCAGGATTCAGTATGGGATTTTTGTGGCGCTCAGACGTTTGATAGTCCAAGCGCACAATTCCATGTTTTCAGATTCCCTGCAAAACCGGACTCATAGGAATCCCCCGAATAAAAGGACCAAAACGGACATTTGTCCGTCTGTCCGATCGGACGTGTCGAACTGCTTCTATCAAGGATTTCCAATGAATGGTCTCCAAGAGAGCAATTTCAACACGCTCCTAACTCTGAAGATCAGAGTAGGAGAGACGTCCAAAAGCGTGATGTTCAGCTGGAACATCACATGAGCTGCACCCGTGTACACACCCATTTGACAACTTTGTGGCCCATAAAACCATCATTGCCAACCAGCCGTGCCAACATGCGACCCATCAAGTCGTCATGCAGAGGCACCGACCATAGCGATCTCCGATCCGCCTAATAGGAAATAATCATCTCTACAGGAAATAACTATTCTAAAAGACTTGTTATCTACATGGAATGGGCAAAGCAAAAGCCTTGCACGAAAACTCAAATTTCCCAAACCTTTACTGGATGTTTGCAATCCAGAAAGGCCGGTACAAAACCCACGTACCAAACTCCCGCAGGATTCAGTATGGGATTTTTGTGGCGCTCAGACGTTTGATAGTCCAAACCCACAATTCCATGTTTTCAGATTCCCTGCAAAAACCGACTCATAGGAATCCCCCGAATAAACGGACCAAACGAACATTTGTCCGTCTGTCCGATCGGACGTGTCAAACTGCTTCCATCAAGGAGTTTCCAATGAATGGTCTCCAAGAGAGCAATTTCAACACAGAGTGCCTATCGTAGCGAGTTGATTGGCCTTCTGGCTGGGATTATGGCGGTTGACTAGCTCCTCCAACAATGGTTCCCAGCCCTTAGCCAGCGGCCGGGTGTCAAGATCGCCTGCAACAGCCTTTCGGCCATTGAAATGGCCTTTGAAGACCGACCCCTTTCACCCACTGATGCACAATTTGAC